ACTAGAGGAGCCATGTCAGAGGGGCTCAGTCACAGACAGAGGTTTGTGGACTTGAACAAACTCTGAGGGAATACGATTTTACGCACAAGCAGCTCATAATCCCATCACAGCGCCATTGCCATTATAAGAGAACAAGGGAGGCATTCATGGTGATTTCTGGCACCTCTTTCTAGAAAAACAGCACTGGGTAGGACGTCCCTATTTTCATCGGAGAAATGTTGGAGGGTAAAGATAAAAGTTAATGACTGTAAAGCACTTTGTTGACTAAAAACTACTGTGGCAAGAGTGGGGAACCTCAGGTCTTGGACGCAAGTGCAACCTCTATAAATGCCCTTTGAGGCTCCTCCTCAGCCACACCCCCTTTCCTGATGCCACACTCCTTATCAGCCCTATTTCATAGCCTCCTTGAGTACCGTATGTCCTGTTCCTAAAACCCTGGAGAGCTGCTGTCAGCGGGTATAGATAATAGTGAGCCAGATGTAAAAAGCACCCCACATTCCTAAGTGATCAGCATGCAAATCAGGATCTCAGCTGCAAGGGGCATCTGTTTATTTATTCTGTGGTGAAATAAATGACTGTGACCTCAGTTGCCAAAAAAAAGCACTCTACTCCTTTCAGTAAGTATCTTCCCTAGGGCTGTGGATAAACAAGGCCAGGATAAATGGGTGAGTGGCTTGTGAGCTGTATGACAGCTTCCTCTGACTTACACAGGACTCTCAGTTGAATGCAAAGCTAGGAAGCATTCAACTCAGCTTCCTCACTCAAGAAACAATATCAATGGTCAGCAGTGAAAGCCACGGGTTGCCTCATGCCCATGGCCAATGTGCGGCTGTTAATTTGCAGGACGGGTTATGTTTTGGCTTGAGGGCGGAAGTGAAGAGAAAGCTTCAATGAGACATACAGTGGTACCTTGGGTTATATAGGGAAGTCCTATATAATAATAATAATAATAATAATAATAATAATAATAATAATATACCCCACCCATCTGATTGGGTTTCCCCAGCCATTCTGGGTAGTTTCCAACATATATAATGACATAATAAAACATTAAACATTTAGAAACGTCCTTATACAAGGCTGCCTTCAGATGTCTTCTAAAGGTTGTATAGTTACTTATTTCCTTGGGTTGCGGGGTCACATAACTCCATACCTTCCAACATTTCTCTGATGAAAATGGGGACATCCTAAGGAAAAGTGGGACATTCCGGTATCAAATCAGAAACCTGGGTGGTTTCTGTAAATCTGGGACTGTCTCTGGAAAACAGGGACAGTTGAATGCTCTGTTTCTCAGGTATGTGGTCTGAGCTGCAGTCCAAGGTATCTTTGGTCGAAAAGCTGGGAAACCTTTCACTGCCTCTTGAAGCCGTTCTTATGTTGACATTCTATAAATTACATGGGATCTGTATTATGAGACACGGCACATTGTTTTCTGAAAGGTGAGCAGCAGGTTTTACAAAGCAAGTCTTTCATTTTCAGCAAGGCCAGTGATGCTGCCTAATTTCCTTACAGGTATTTGGGCTTGTGCCTAGCCTTTCTCCAAATTCAATGGATGTTACAGAAAATAGAAGTGATTAATGTGCAGCAATTGATCTGCAGAGTTTAGGGGGTGATGTGCTGATTTGCCTTGACATGCTGAGTCACTGTCTGTTGATGCCATCATGGAGTCTTTGAATAGTTTCCTTTTTCTTTAGCCTACATGACTAACTGCAGTTAAAGATGGGAGAGGATTTCATTCGATCGGGGTTTTAAACACGCTGATTTAATTCACACCTCTTGGTCTAAGACACAGATTGGAAAGTAATTATCCTTCAGAGTACGCACTTCTGCAAAACTTTACAGTACAGTTCTCTGCTCAGGAAGAGAATGTGTAATTTTATTTTATTCATTGCATATTTTAGGATAAAATACATTTAGAAAGGCATACGTTGAGATAAAATATGTATTGAAATGGTATTTTGAAATAAAACATTTAAATGTTCATATGGATTTTAAAGTTATTATTATCACAGTTAAATGTGGAGACACCAGATGGGATCGATTTATGACTGAATATGTGGAAACTGATCGATCCATCTGTATTTAGAGGCAGTCCTAAATGTGTGTCTTTATAATAATGACATACCTTCCATTGTAAACTGTGCACAGCACTTCAATGGAGCAAAATTTAGTGATCCAGCTTATTCGAGCTGAATAATTTAAGGCAATGGAAGACTAATGCAGATGTTGTACTTCTAGAATGGAAAGTTTGCACAAGAATTGATATTTGTACTGGCTGCTTTAAATGTAAACATTGCTTCCTGATCAGGAGGTCCTAAGCCAGGCTTCCTCAACCTCGGCCCTCCAGATGTTTTGAGACTACAATTCCCAACATCCCTGACCACTGGTCCTGCTAGCTAGGAATCATGGGAGTTGTCGGCCAAAAACATCTGGAGGGCCAAGGTTGAGGAAGCCTGCCCTAAGCTACTGAAGGTAATGGGGCACTTTATATGTCCAGCTGTCCTTTGTCAACAACAATTTGTTGCTGTTTTTTGTGTTGAATATATGCTATATGGTAATATATGGACCTAATAGGTATCTAAAGCCATTTGCACATAACAAAATATGTATTACTTACAATCATCACAGGAGCCTACACAACACAAAACACTGTTGCTGTATGTAGTTTTTATTTTATTTGTTGTTTTATTTTATTTTATTTTATCTTATATTTTGGAAATGTACATCCAGCTTTTCCCCCTCTAATTTTTTTAAGAGAGTGGGGCCCTAAGCTATAGCTTGTTTAGCTTATACGTAAATCCGGCCCTGTTCCTGGTCAGCTGGTCATGTGGAGGCAATACCATGCCTAGGCTTCTGCTTCAGCGTGTCATAAAAAGCTCAGTTGTTTACGTTATGCAGCAGGAGAACCTATGACCCTCCATCAGCCCCAGCCAGTGTGGCAAATACAAGGGATGATGGGAGTTGTAGTTCAATAACATATGGAGGGCCATGGGTGTCCCGCCCTTGTTCTGTAGACCATGGGACTGCTGATTCAGCACTGGATTCCATGATGACGCTAAAATAATTTTATTAAAGATTTTATTGGTTTATGAAAGTATGTGCATTGTCTCTTTTTCAGGTTGCAAAGTCTTTTCTACAGATCTGTTACATCCAATAGGAGATTTTAGCATTGTACCCCTTTTTATAGAAAACACACAGATATGAAAACAGAGACAACAAACGAAGCTTAGCTAGAGGCAGCGATGCTTCTGAATATCAGTTGCTGGAAGCAGCAGGAGAGGGGAGAACATTTTGTGTGTGCTTGGGTCGCGCTTGCAGATTTCCCACTGAGGCATCTGGTTGGCCAGCGTGAGAATGGGATGCTGGACTAGATGAGCTCCTCTTATCTTCTTATGTCTGGCTTTATACAGCAGCCTTATTTTAAGGGTATCAGTGAGGCAAAGATCACCAAACATACATATCACAATATCACAAAATAGCCCAAGTCAAGTTTGGAGCTGGGTGTTTGGAAGGTAGTACATCGTCAGCCTGTTTTGTTCCAGCAATGATGACTTTAAATATGCTTCTGGCTGTAAACTGGAGTAGAAATCTGGATCCAGCTAGATGGGACCCTCAAGTCCCCCAGACCACTTTGACAGGTAGCTAGGACCTCTCAAACTGCCAATCACCCATGACATCTGATTATATAATGTCAAGGGAAGGAATTGGCAGCTTGCTCTAAATGTGCTCCCAATTCTTTATATGCACAGCCTTTTTCTGTTCCTCTGCATTGCCTAATTTTGAAAAATGTTAGCCTTTGGCTGCAAAGGAAATACCAGGGTATGCTCCTGATTCTTCTTGCTTTGGGCCACAGTTTTAAGGGTTAAGCTATCAATGATGTCACATATATGATGTCCAGCCTGGTGGTGGACCAAACTGCAAGGTCGATTGGGACCAGTTAGGCCCAAAGGCTGGAGGTTCCCCACCACTGGTCTAAGTCAAGGTATTTTTTTAAATGCTTTGAAGCCACGCATGGCTTGGGACCTTCATACCCTCCTGACTGCCTCTCCACTTCTGGATCACTGTTGCCATCTTTGTGATGTGTTTGGATAATGATGGCCATAAAACGAGGGTTTTCTCGATATTGACCCATGTTTGTGGAATTTTCTTTCTGCAGAGGTGTGGGAAGATACTCTTCTGATGGTTTCTGGGAGGAGCATAAGCCTCTTCCAACAGGGTTTTGGTTGACAAAATTGCCCTTTCCTTCATTTCTTGTGGCTGTTTTTCTGTTGTTACTGAGTAACGTTAATATTACATTGCTGGTGTAGAATTGCGATTTGTGTTCTTCTAAGTCATTATTTATTTTCTTCACAGATGTGGAGCATAACATTTTAAATAAATAAAACACATTAATTTGTGGAGGTCGAAGGTTCTTGCTTCGGTCCTGTAGAAATAAATGGGACAAATTCTTCATGTGACACAAGTCTCATTGGTTCGAATTGGACTAAAGAGTGATGGACTTATAGGGTAAAATCTGCACTGTACATTTGAGACATTCGCTCCTGGTTCTCTGCCTTCTGCCTGTTTTCTTAATCTCAGTCTTCTTGTTTGGGAGCCAGGTGCAAAAGTGGCCAGGGCCAGATGTAGTCCAACAACATCTGGAGGACACCAGGTCGTTTGCCTGTGTTCTGTGCAATAGGTCTACTGAAGAGCCAATAACTAGGTGAATGATAAAAAGAAACATGCATGGATATGTAATGGTATGATTAATGTCACTTCTAGTTTGCTGAGACGGCTGTCCTAAATGTTAGGGAGCAAAGTCCCTTTGAACTTTGGGAATGACTTCTGAGCAAAACAATGCCACGATTTCTCTGCATAAGTTCCCCGTCTCCTTTTGGCCTTTTTATTCTGTTGATTTTTTTTAAAAAAAGAACTTTAAAGTCTCTTCTCTGTAATGCAGGATTCACAATGCATTCTTTGTGTATTTCAGGTACGGTTTGGAGGCTGATATGTAAAGCAAAATGGCTAAAGTTGATACCTATCACTCCTGTCCTGCGATCCATAGGCTGTCTCTGAAGACTATCAACGATGACCCTGATGATAAGCTTGAAAATGGATTTACCAGGTAAACTCGGTTCTGTAATTCAACATAGCCTGACTCCCAAATAAAGCACAACCTGAAACCCTAACATTATGGGAATATAGTTCACAAGGGTTTCCAGCATGGTGCCTATCAGCACAATAGTGCCCTTGAGGCCATTGCCTGCTGCTCAGAAAAACTCTGAGTCCCCTCCCCCACTCACTGCCCACTTGGTCATGAGAAGATGTCTCCTGGTATTCATTTGCTCTCTGCACACCCCACCACAGCCTCACTGTGCCTGGGCCCAGAAACGGCTACGTCAGATCATAAATACAAATGTCAGCCCACTAATTTACCTCGTCATGCACTCCTATGCAGGTTTACCTAGAAATAAGCCCCATTTAAACCCATAGGATGCATTCTACCCCACCTAAGTGTCGAACTGTAGCCTTAACAGTGCAATCCTAACCATGGCTGATCAGAAGTATTGGATTCAATGGGACTAACTCCCAGATAAGTGGGTTCAGGTGTGCATTCTGAGCCATATAATGGATTTCCTCCTCTACCCTCGTCTCAGAATGGATTTTAGTATCTGTTGATTTTTTTTAGCATGTGGGCTTTGATTCTGACTGGATTTCTACAGTCCCCCCACCCCCACCGCCGGCTCACCTATTGTTTTCTGCCTTGACCGTCTAGGATGGGTCTGGCAGAAAATCTAATAGATGCGAAGACAATGCATCTGTCAGTAAGTTCCGTCTGGCAAAATTCTTGTGGACATCAAGCGATGCGGAACTGAGGCGGAAGATTATTAATGTGCTGCGTTTTTCATAACGTCACCCGTGACAGTAATAGCACTTGTGACTTCGGAAGGAATGCATGTTCCTCCACGGTTGTTGCCTAATTGGGAGAGCTGGAGGAATAGCAAGCGCACATCAAATGGGGGCTAAATGTGTCGTTCTTTCGGGTTTTACTCTTTGATTCTCAAGGACCCGCTCGCTGTGTGAGGAGGGCACGTCTCCCGAATTGCACAGAGTCATTTCCATGGAGACGGGCGGCCTGCCTGAATCTCGAAGAAGCTCATTCTCAGGCAGTGGAGCGATGGCTAGGTAAGCTACATTTGGGAGATGGCATGGCAGTGACCTTGCAAGAGGTTAATGGGATCTTGCACTGGAAGCAAAGGGGCAGGGCGGGGCTGGCCAGCGAAAATGCCTAAGAAAGAAATTTTCGTTCATATCAAACTATTATAGAAGAAATGGACGATAAATTGATCACCATCTGAACTATTAGGATCATTGGAGCCAACTCCTAGGGGCCAATGGGTCTTTGTACCCCTAAAAAATATTTGAGTGGGTCAGGCCACCCCAAAGTTGAAGAGCATTGCCATTCAAATGGTGTGTGTGCACTGCGTCATATGATTGACTGTGCTTAGTTTTCCCTCCCAATATTTTATTCAAGTTGGCACCCCTGATTAGTATTGGAGGCGTGTTGCATTGGGCGATTAAGGTGGTATTCGAAGCATATTCTTTTTAGTTCCTTGAGAGAATGTAAAATTGAGAGTGAATTCTTGGTGAAACCTTTTTCGGTTTTCTATCAGAAGTCACATTTTGTATTTGGCATAACTCCCACTTCAGCAGTTTTCATGGGAGGTGGTGGGGAACCACAATCTTCTAAAAGGCCACCATGGGGCTTGTCTCAGCACCAGCTAAAATGAGGCTGTGTGGAGCAGCACTAAGTCCTTGCAAAATGTTACCTTCTCTTCAATGTTTTGTTGATTGTGCGTCTGATGTATGAGAAAGCATCTAGCTTTGCAAATATTGGCACAGAAATGCTGGGTTCGTTCCCTTTAATCACCACGGGGGGTTTCTTTCTCCAGAATGTAACTTGGACGAAAGCAAAATGTTCACCGTGCAACTTTGACAAAGAATTGTTACTTATCATGTAAGCGGTTTTAGGTTATGTGAAGGAGAGTGTTTTGTTATTGTTGTTGGAGAAACCCATGTTAGCAAAAATAGCTTTGTCTCTGCATTAGTAGTGGGGAGAACACAGAGTGTGAAATATGAATACTTTAATAGCGCAAGGTTCAGCCACACATTTACATTATGGGACCAGCCCTACTTTTAGCCAGAGTGGGGAGGCCACCTTGGGCAGATGTTTTGGGGTGTCATGAAATGGTAGCAAACGCTATTTATTATCTTTGTTGCCTAGGATAAGGAGAAATCATGTAGGATTTTCTGGCTGCAGTGCCATAATAACTTGAATAGCCCTGGTTAGATGTGACAAATTATACATATATCCCCCTGTGCACATATGTGTAATATTTACTTCAGATGTTGAAATTTAAAGATGTTTTATATTGAAGTGTAGACATCCACTTCATCAAATGGAAATACATCAAAATGTAAGGAGTGAGGTGTTGGTGCTGACCTTTCAAGCCCTAAACGGCCTTGGCCCAGTATACCTGAAAGAGTGTCTCCACTCCCATCTCTCAGCCTGGACACTGAGGTCCTCCTCTGAGGGTCTTCTGCTGGTTCCCTCACTGCAAGAAGAGAACTTACAGGGAGTCAGGCAGAGGGCCTTCCCTGTTTTGGGAAGTTTTTAATGTTTGATGTTTTATTATGTTTTAATATATGCTTCAAGCTTCCCAGAGTGGCTGGGGAAATCCAGCCAGATGGGAGGGGTATAAAATAATAATAATAATAATAATAATAATAATAATAATAATAATAGGTTCTGCACGCACCATGTGTTTAGTTTGTGAAAGTTTCAAACAGACCTTCAATGACACAATTACAAGGGAATGCTAACCTTAGGAAACCTTCTGAAGTACGTGTACAGTTGTTCACTTTCCCCTGGTCAGTTCGTACTGCCTAGCTGTTCCCTCCATCCTTTCAGGTTATCGTGGTTCATCTTATCACTGCGATCCTGGGCCAGGAGGAACTTACATCATGAAGACCAAAGGCCAGATTCCTTTCTTGAGCGAATCCGAGGGCCAGAGCTCAAAGACATTCCCAGTAGAGACAGCAACACCCAGCTGAACTACGATGAGGCAGATGGATTGAAAAAGTAAGAGGATACAGCTTCTGTGGGAAGATATTTGCTTGGAACGTTGTGTTTACAGAGGAAGAATGATGCTGCCTGTGGCAGAGGGATACTTAGTGCAAGTGCTTTTCTCCTAGGAAAGAAGGTGTCAGTACTCACCATGCAAGGGAGGATTCTCAGACTCTACCAGAGCATTGTGCCTTCTTTCCTAAGCTGGGAAGAAGCTTCCTGGACTTTGGGAAGGAGCTACGAGGCTCTGATTTCGGAAGAAAAAGCATTGCTTAGTGCAGAACTGATAGGTACTGAATACTGTATGGGAAAACTTTGGTCCTCCAAATGTTTTTAGGTTCCAACTCCCATCATCCCTGACCACCGGCCATGCTGGCTGGAGCTGATGGGAGTTGGAGTCCAGCATCCTCTGGAGGACCAGAGCTTCCTTGGCCCTGCTGTAAACAATCCCAAAAATTAATTGGAAGTCTCGCCATTAGCTTTAATGCATTGTGACTTGCACCTGTCATGTATAAGGGCTACAAGTCTATAGCAATAGTTTTCGGTGAATGTACCCATTCAGTCATACTCCTGATCATGTAGATTTATGGCTGGATCCTTTCTATGACTTCCACCCCAGGCTTCCAGACTGAACTTGGTTGCCCATGTTGAAATATGGATGGTCTGCAATGCATGGCAAATAGAGCTGTTTACTCAGTCTTCCATATTTTACACCAGGGCTGAGCAACCTGTGACCGTGCAGATGCTGCTGGCTGCAAATCCCATAATCCATGCCCTTTGACACTGCTGGCTATAACTGATTGGATTTGCAGTTCACCAATATCTGAAGGACCACAGGTTCCCCAGTCCAGTTTGATGCCAAATGAAACCAAACTTCTGCAGTGAGAATAATAATGCAGATTAAATAAATTTGCAGAGATTTGCCTCTTTGGCAAAAATGACCATGCGCCCAAGATTCATTTCTCCCCCCAAAAGCTCACACTGTTGGGCAGGAAACAATGCATGGAAAGTGAGAAAGGAAGGGCATAGAGGCTGGGATCTGACTGTTGGTACAATTGAGGGAGGAGAGAATGGAAGCTGCTGGGGAGAAAATGAGGACAGGACACAGCACAGGAAGCTGCATTGTCCCAAGTCAGACCATTGGTTCATCTTCTTTGGTATTGTCTGCACTGACTGACAGCAGCTCTTCAGAGTTTCCCAACCCTACCAGGAGATGACAGCAACTGAACCTGAGAATTTCTGGGTGCATATAATGTGCACTACCAACCCATGCAAACCCTCCTTCTCCAGCAGCCTTGTCCATTGACATTGGAACCTTGCCCGGGCCTCTGTGGTGTCTCAGCTTTCCCCCAATATTGCTTATTTAGGTTTTCAACTTTTTCTCGCCCCTTGGACTACCCAATCAGAAGCGAGTCCTTAGAATGCTGCATTGTGTGGCACAGGGACGCAGAGTCTGTGACCCTCCCCATGCTCTTGGCTTCCATCTCCCATCAGCCCCAGCTAGTGTGGTCCATTGTGAGGAATGATGGGAGTTGTAGTCCAACAGCATCTGGAAGGTCACATTCCTGGTGCAGTAGATACCACAGAATGTGCTCGGGGCTGGCTGTTTGTCAGGTCCCTGAGCTTGTAGAATGTCTACACCTTATTCAGTCAAGGAGATATTTCTAAACGTTTGCTCTGTGTGTTGACAGTATTTAACCGTTTTAAGTAGTAGCCCCTGGATGATTAAAAGAGGGCATAGAATATTAGAACTGTAGAGTTGGAAAGGACCACGAGGGCTGTCCAGTCAAGGCCCTGCAATGCAGGAATCTTTTGCCCAGCTTGGGGTTCAAACTCACAACCCTGAGATTATGAGTCTCGTGCTCTACCAACCAAGCTGTGATACCCCAGTAATCTGTGTTCTGTGTATCTAGCACTATCTGCTGTTGATTACAAGGTTTGAGACCAATCTGGGTGCTCCTTAACTGCAGGCTTCGTATGTTCACTTCAGTTTAGAGTTGTGAGTCTCCACCTATCACAGGCAGGGAATCAAAAGCGTGCATCACTGATGCAACCGCGATATCCCTCCCTCCCCCAAATGATAAGCGTTGAACCTGGGCTCTCCAATAGAGAGCATTCCCCTTCCTTTGAAGTTCCAAATTTGCAGCGTTCCAGCCATGTCTCTGCTCTGCCGCGGTGTTTGCAGCAGCAGTAAATATGCCTGTTTTCTGCCAAGCCAGTCTTGGCACCGCTGCTGCGAGGATGACTGGAACGGCTTGAGGAACACTTAAGAGTCGCAGCCAAACGGGTGCTATAAATAGCTGGATCCTCCACCGTCGAGCATTAGGACGCCTGAGACCAGGCTAAAGTGCTTCAAGCACCAGGCATGGCCACAAACGTGTGTGAGCTGCACGTGAACATGGGTGCCTGGTGCCCTGGATAGTTACGCAAAGGAGCTTAGTGCTGCGGTCAAAGTTGACCTCCTTAATCTTGTCAGAATCTGGGAAGGCCTAACAGTGCAATGAATGATGGAGGTAAAGATAGTTGCACACAGTGACCAATGTATTAAATGATGCTTTCTGCATTGCTCTTTTATTCACCCATGCATTTACTTGTTAATTTTAACTCACTGTAGTCAATGGGCTCTGGCCAGATTTAACATCAACTATTCCAACAACACCAATGAAGAGTAAGTACGTAGATGATCTGTGGCTTGCCTAGTCCCTCCCCACTGCTGCAAAACATGCTCCTCACAACTGTAGATCAATTGTCCTCCCACCCCCCTCTTTTTAAACCCTATTTCAGCTGCCATGCTTTTGTGGAAAATCTCTTCCTTGTAGATGATAATCTATCCCTTTCCTTCTGGTTAGTGATGCTGCTACTGTAGTTGGGAATTTACACACTGTAGTATTTTGGGGGAGGGAACCCCTTGCCCTTGTATTTATAGCCTTACTTTGAATCGTAGCCTCCTGGCTGATTTTGTGGAGCTTTTCCCATGTAAATTCATAGATAAAATCTGTCCATTCTTTTAAGTGGGCTGTGTTTTGACATAACACTGGACTCACACCACATTTAAGCAAACTGGCTGATGTGTGAGCTGTGCATTTGGTGTCACACTCCTCATTTCACTCATTTCTTAGTTCTGTGGGAAAACAAGCCACTTGGCTTGGTATTAAATCTAAACCTGGGCTCGTAGTTTGTTTCTCTCCAAACAAACCAAGGTGGAGCCAAGGTTTCACCCTTGGCTTCTCGCCCATGGATTGTTTGTGAGAAGCAAACCATCAGTACTGGTTTGGATGATATGGAAGCCAAGTCAGCTGCTCTGTAGTTTGTTTCACCACACAACTTAGAGGAGGAACAAAGTGGGAGTGCATGAGCTGTGTGTATCAGTGTGCAGCTCATGCTCAGGCTAACTTGCTTAACTATGGTTCAGTCAGGAATGTGGCTCCTCTCTGCTGTGTAGGCCTCTGAGCAGCTTTCCCCCTCTCTCATAGCACCTGCATTGCTCAAACAAACCATAGTGCTGTTTGTCATGTCATCTGAACTCAGACCACAGCTTGTTTCAAACAAAAGCTCAAGAGACAAGCCAGAAAAACGTCAAGGACAAACCATAGTTTATTTATGGCTTACCGCTCAAGCATTGTTTGAAACCAATAATAGCCTTGGTTTGGACAACATGACAAGCAATCCTGTCTTTTGGTTGAGCTGCGTGGGGCAGACAATGAACCCATCTGGCAGTGGGAAGGTACTTCCATGGGTAAGCCTGTTTTAAAACTGTGGCTTATTGTGATGTTTGTGCCAGGCCTAAGCCTCTCTCTCAACATCTCTCTCATGTTTAATATTGTGTCTTTTAGCTTGAGTAATCCAGGATGCTTTAAGGCAGACTGGATTTTCCTGGTATTTCTCCTCAATCACATACAAAATAGTCTTGTAAAAGGTAAAAGTAACGTTTACTCGCTCAGAATACATGTTGCAGAATAACAGATGGTATATCAGTTACGAAGTCTAGCTTAAAAGGGAGTCTGATCATGGAGCTCGGATTTAGCAGATGTCACCGAAGAGAGGAAGAGAATGTGCCCAGGCAGGGAGGAGAATATATCAGTACACCTTCCCCCTGTCAGGGCACAGCAGGTGGGTCTCTCACAGAGTCCTCTCTAGCAAACTTACAGGAAGACTCTGTGAGCTTCAGCTCCTATCATGTGCCTATCTAGCGAAACATGAAATGTTGGTTTGACTGCATGTTAAATATCCCACGTATGGCTTTGTAATTGTCAGAGAAGTAGATTGGGCAGGGAACAATCTTCAGGCACTATTCATTTCAGCTGGGCAGGCATTCTTGGTTTAATGATAGGAGTCTTACAGCCGCTCTCAAGAAAGAAACAGCACCACGTACTATCTAGGTAATGGTGCAGAGGGACAACTTGACACAAACTCTCTATAGAGATTTCTTATACTTCATCAGACTTTATTTCCCTACCCCACCCCAAAGAAAGGTGTCAGAATGATTCCTTAGCACACCAGGCCAAATAGATAAATTCTGGGCTGTTGTGTGAAAGATTTATTGCTGGCAAATGTATAAAGTGTGTACTAAGCTCTTTCAAAATCAGCCACATTTTGTGTGTGTGTGTGTGTGTGTGTGTGTGTGTGTGTGTGTGGTGTTGCGTTCCTGACATCCACCAACTATTGTGATGTGCACAATATTTTGTATTAAACCATGCAAGTAGCCATTCGGGTAAACTTTAGACTGGCCTCCTCTAGTCTTCCTGAACCTGCTCCCTGCTTGCTAGCTCTCCAGCTGCTGATGAGCCAACCACGTTTTGCTAAGTCTGTTGCACACTGTGTTATGCAGAAAGAAGGAAGAAAAGAAAGATGTTAAGGAGGAGAAAAAGGAGGAAAAGAAAGAGGAGAAAAAGGAGGAAAAGAAAGAGGAGAAAAAGGATGACAAAAAAGATGATAAAAAGGATGATAAAAAGAAGGAAGAAGAGTAAGTATAAATTGGGAGAACTGCATCTTTACAACACACTTCCTGCTCTGTACAGAATTGAATGGTATAATCAACTAACTGCTCCTGAGTCGTTTAGCTCTTGAGTGATTGTCGTGTCGAAACCTACAATCGGCTTTGGCTCTGGAATATTCAAACAGTGCATTCTAGAATGCTGCAGCCACTCAGGGAACCTGCCACGACTTACAGAGAATTAGGGCCACCTTTCCCAGAACGTTGCGCAAACATGGGATAACTTTGGCACCTATGCAGAAACATTGCAGCCATCATTTGGAGCTGAGAGCTCCTTCTACAGGTGACAGCAGCATGATGTGAGCTGGTCCCCTGTGCATTTTCCACACCATGTTGTCTTCCTGTATAAAGGCTTGCAGCTCTGAGTGTTAGGGCAAAACTCCTGTGACTGACCCCGTCCACATGGCCACAGACCTTTTTAAACAGAAAGTAACAGCACTGCTGTAAGATGAATTCACAAAAATATGTAAACATATGTAAACATATAAAGGATATGCAAGTCAGGCTTGGCAAAGCCTGTGCTTTCTGGTTGTCCCCTTAGAGCAGTTTAAGAAAGTGCTGACCCCACTTGCTGGTTCCTTGGCACATTGGCCAGTTAGGGCAGCAAAACAAGCTGTGTGGGTGAGAGAGGAATGTATTGCAGCAGTCTTTGGTAGGCTGCTGCACTCCAGATGAATTGGACTAGAACTCCCATCCTCCCCTGCCGGGAGGTACCAAGTTGGCAAAGGTTGAACTATAGGAAGTAAGTTCCTGCTAACCCCACCCTTTGAATTTCTTGCACACAACTGGCCACAGTGGCCGGAGGATTTGGCACATTCAGGTTTGATAGCTGAAGCTTCCAATACTAAGGTTATGTTTACTGCTAGCGTGAACAGATGGGACGCCATTGATATAGCCGCTAAACCTATGTGCACTTCTATAAAGCGCAAGGCTGTGCATGCATTCTTGGAGATAAATGGATCCCACTGACTTCAACAAAACTGCCTTGGAAGGAAACGTGCCTAGCATGGCAGCCTTGCAGTTCAATCCTACGCAGCTTTACTCAGACATGGCCGTGGGATTTGCGCTTTGGGTCACTACCTAAGCTTGTGCCCACCGATGAGGATCAACTTCCTTGCAACACCATGTCAAGGAAGGTTGGAAAGAAATAGAACGCTCAAAAGGCAAAGTAGATAATTGATTCCAAGAAGTGTGTTGCAAAGATTGCATCTCAATTACGCTACTGATGTGAGAAAACGAAGCAACAATAGTGGTAGTTGTGTACTTTGCGTGCTGTAGACTTGTAGTAATAGTACCTGCTGCCATGCTGTGATAGTAGTGATTGTGCAGGTAGTGAAAGCTGGTTAAAAACAAGATGTCTCGCTTCGGCCCTGTTCTGCATTTACTGGCAAGGTTGTAAATGTAATGCTGATAGTTTGGTGAGCAAAGTCTTTCACATCTGTATGAGCCATCTGTTCGATACCCTGTTCAGTTCAAGCCTTAAGATGCTGTGAATGAAGCATCCTCAATTTAAGCACAGGATGAGACCACTTTAGCTGATGACAAGCACTGACTGATGGTCGGATCAGTTATACACCTGAGAATTCCCAGACATGCCCTCTTTTGGGGGTCCTACCCAGGGAGAAATTTTACATTTTAAAACAAATGTCCTGGATTTGGGGTTAAAAAAATAAAATAAAAAATTGTGCATGGGCAGTTCTGGGTCTGGTTCTGGCTTTGGCGGTGGTGGCCCAGGATATAGCATGGGCGACTCAGGCTCAGCGGCGGAGCTATCAGGAGATTACCCTGAAAAAAACTCAACAACTTTTTGTGTCCGGATTTTGTACCTCTTGAAATATGGCGACCCTAAGATAAACTCGCTGATTCCAATTTATGAACGTGGGTGCCATGTTGGGCCATACCAGATGGACCAATGCTGGCTATAATGTATTTCTTTACGAAATTGCAGCCTTCAGCGTACTGGAAGCGGGATCTCTCTGGGACACGAGATGCGCCTGTGATCAATGGAATTTCATGTGCTCACACCTGCATATTCTTATTGCAATTATTTCATTTATTAAATTATATACAGCCCCCTCATCGCAAGATCTCAGGGCGGTTCACAGATAAAATACAAGTTAGAACAACAACAACAAGTAAAGCATTAAAACAAAAACAACAAAACAATAACCCCCCGCTTCCCCCTTCTTTTCAGGAAGAAGAAAGAGGTCTTTGTGATGGACCCTTCAAGCGATCTGTACTATAGGTGGTTGACCATCATTGCAACACCCGTATTCTATAACTGGTGTTTGATAGTGTGTAGGTGAGGATTATTCGTTGGTGGGTACTTCTGTTGTCATTGCCTGTTTCGGTCCTTTGTCTTTACTACTGCGCACGTTAGATCTTCTAAAAAAACACAGCAAATATTTGTATCTGAATGCAACGTTGGTTGATTTTCCTTTTCCTACTCTTGTCCTGGTGTTTGGTTTTTTCCCCATTATCATTTTTATAGTGTTTATTTATTTATTTATTTATTGGCATTCTTTCTTCTGAGACAGTTGTGCAGATTGAAATGGTAGCAGTTTTCAAATCTGCTATATAAATAATACACATGAAACTGCTGACTATATATGAAATCATATGTCTACCTAGCTTGCTTTGAATGTCACTGTAGTTCATTTCCTCTTCTTTTCCTCTCAATTTAACGCAAGAGGCTACAACCTTGTTTTGCTTAATATAACCTTTCAGGCTAATTTTAAATATATTCATGTTTTATTAATATTTTCCCTCTCTTTTTGCTTGCCATTCACTTTCAACTCGCTCTGAAATCTGGAATGCCTGCCTAGCTATCTCTTGCTCATTAGATCCAGCTGTCTGCCTGTCTATCAGCAACTCTATTCAAGTGGTTTATATTAGCCCTACAATTCTATACTTTTATCGATACGCAGCTCTTTCTGAAGCAGGAACTACCGCCCTCCCCACCCCATCCTCATCTTATTTGCAGCAATCTCTTGCCACTTGTAACAACCTGTCACCGCCATCTGGTGGGCTGAGTAGACCTGCAGTTCACAGATCATGAATTATATTTTGAATAGGCTGCGCCCTTGCACAGCTTTTCTTGGATTATTTGCTCAGTGCAGTTCCGCTAAATTGATTTCTGCTCTCCACTTTCCTTACCAGTATCAGGAAGATAAGCACAGGGGGAATTACAACCTCAGAGAATATATGGGAGATGAAAGCAAGAGATGTTTTAACGTAAAGTTGAACGTGTGGTTTGCTCTCCCCCAGTGCAACCTGCCTTGAACCGGTTGTTAGCTCTAAGCAAATCTTCCATTCCTTTCTGTTTGTTTAGAGCCTGTTTTGATGAGCTTCAACTGGAACACATTACACTTTGGCTGATCTTGGACTATTCCTCTGATGTCATCTATGTCCTGGACACATTTGTCAGGTACAGAACAGGTGAGTTGTTTGAGCAGTTTCCAATAATAATAATAATAATAATAATAATAATAATAATAATAATAATTTTTATTTATATCCCACCCTCCCCAGCCGAAGCCGGGCTCAGGGTGGGTAACAACAATAAAACAGTACAACAGTACAACACAACACTCTAAAATCATTCATTATAAAATTAATTTAAATCAAACCAATGGCAACCATTGAGCCAGAGCTCCGCGAAGATTGCCGAAGGAGGGAGTCAGGCTGTGCCCTGGCCAAAGGCCTGGTGGAACAACTCTGTCTTGCAGGCCCTGCGGAAAGATGTCAAGTCCCGCAGGGCCCTAGTCTCTTGTGACAGAGCGTTCCACCAGATTGGAGCCGCAGCCGAGAAAGCCCTGGCTCTAGTTGAGGCCAGCCTAACCTCTCTGTGGCCTGGGACCTTCAAGATGTTTTTATTTGAAGATCGTAAGTTTCTCTGTGGGACATACCAGGAGAGGCAGTACCATAGGTACGAGGGTCCTAGGCCGTATAGGGCTTTAAAGGTTAAAACCAGCACCTTATACCTGATACTGTACTCCACCGGGAGCCAGTGCAGCTGGTATAGCACCGGGTGAATGTGATCTCGCAGCGAGGACCCCGTAAGGAGTCTCGCTGCAGCATTCTGCACCCGCTGGAGTTTCTGGGTCAGTCTCAAGGGCAGCCCCACGTAGAGCAAATCACACCATGAATGGCAGCAGATTCTGTCTGTCTGCGTGAATCTGGACTCAATTAAATTAGGGGGGTGGGATTCATGCTGGCTTTGCCTCAGTTATGTTCCCAGATGTTTATTTTTGTCATCTTGGGCCAATCAAGAACCCTTGCTTTGCTTTTACTGCCAAAATGAAGTCTAGATGTGAGCAGAAAGGACTTGAGCATCCTGCTGCAGCCCCCTGTGTACTCTCAAAACCTGCTCTGTACAGCTGAGGGACCCTTCAGATTTTGGGGGTGCAAAGGAAGGAAGGGGAAGGAGAGAGAGGTGAAGTTCTGTTGCGTGAGCAGAAATCTGCTCATGCAATGTTGGATTCTCCCCGCTGATGTTAAGATGAGCACTATATAAGATGAGTAATGTCATGTCTTACCATTTTTGTGTTTACCACCCTGGGGTCTTTGGGGAAGGAGAGCAGGATAGAAATTTAATAAATGAAATGAATGTGGCAATGCCTGGTCATACCTCAGAAGTTGAACAGAATCTGTTCTGGAAGTCTGTTCGACTTCCGAAACGTTCGACTTCCAAAGCGCGGCTTCTGATTGGCTGCAGGAAGCTCCTGCAGCCAATCGGAAGCCACAGAAGCCCTGTCGGATGTTCTGCTTCCAAAAGAACATTCAAAAACTGGAACATTCACTTCCGGTTTTCGATTGTTCGGGAGCTGGAATGTTCGACTCCCAAGGTGTTCAGGAGCCGAGGTACAATTGTATTTTATTTATTTCAATAAATATTGATGGCAAAACAATATTTTGCTATAGATGGTCACAAAACAGTTAAAATATTGAAAATAAATATATTTGAAAACCCATGAGCAGCTTTCTGGGGTAGACAGTTCTGCTTAAGCAATCTCTTGCCTTCTCTGTCCTTTTGCTTTTTCAGGTTTCCTGGAACAAGGACTACTAGTTCGCGATGAAAAAAAGTTAAGACTGAATTATCAATCTACTACGCAGTTCAAGATGGACTTGCTCTCTCTTGTCCCAACAGACTTGGGCTATTTTAAATTTGGGATTAACTATCCTGAGCTGCGCTTTAATCGGCTGCTGAGAATTGCTAGGCTATTTGAGTTTTTTGACCGTACAGAAACGAGAACAAACTACCCAAACATGTTTCGAATTGGGAACCTTGTCTTGTACATTCTTATCATTATCCACTGGAATGCATGCATATTTTTTGCTATTTCCAAGCAGATTGGATTTGGAACAGACACCTGGGTCTATCCCAATATATCCCATCCAGAACATGGACGTCTGTCCAGGAAATACATTTACAGTTTATATTGGTCAACATTGACATTGACAACCATTGGCGAGACTCCACCTCCTGTGAAAGATGTAGAGTATCTGTTTGTGGTCATGGACTTCCTGGTTGGTGTGCTCATCTTTGCTACCATTGTCGGTAACGTAGGCTCAATGATCTCTAACATGAATGCCTCTAGGGCAGAGTTCCAGGCGAAGGTTGATTCTATCAAACAGTACTTGCAGTTCCGAAAAGTCACCAAAGACTTGGAAAACAGGGTTATTAAATGGTTTGATTACCTGTGGACCAACAAGAAAACGGTGGAAGAGAAAGAAGTTCTGAAGTACCTCCCTGATAAACTGAAGGCTGAAATTGCCATCAACGTCCACTTAGACACACTAAGGAAGGTACGCATCTTCCAAGACTGTGAAGCTGGACTCCTTATTGAGCTGGTGTTGAAGCTAAGACCCACGGTCTTCAGTCCTGGAGATTATATCTGCAAGAAAGGGGATATTGGAAGGGACATGTATATTATTAAAGAAGGGAAGCTGGCTGTCGTGGCTGATGATGGTGTGACCCAGTTTGTGGTCCTAAGTGATGGCAGCTACTTTGGAGAAATCAGCATCTTAAATATCAAAGGCAGCAAATCTGGCAACAGGAGGACAGCCAACATTAGAAGCATAGGCTATTCTGACCTGTTCTGCTTATCTAAAGATGACCTGATGGAAGCTCTCACTGAGTACCCTGATGCCAAAAAGGCACTAGAAGAAAAAGGACGGCAGATTTTGATGAAAGACAATTTGATTGATGAGGAAGCAGCTAAAGCAGGAGCAGATCCCAAAGACCTGGAGGAGAAAATAGAAAAGCTGGAAGCTGCCCTAGACATTCTCCAGACCAGGTTTGCTAGACTCCACGGAGAGTACACTGCGTCTCAAGCCAAAGTCAAGCAGAGACTTGTAAAAGTGGAGACAAAAGTGAAGAAGTTTGGAAGTGGTACGCTGTCAGGTGACGAGGGTGAAAAACCACAGGAAGAGAAAAAGAATTAAGTGGGCACTTTGAACATCTTCATTTAGCTCAGAATATTGCATCAGAGAAGAGATATGCACATGAAAATATGTAAACAAGGCTATTTTTATATGGACCCAAATCAATGGCATTTGTAGCATTTTTAACTGAAGCAATTGTCATGTAAATAGGAAATTCTTATGTTTTATGATATTTTTAGAAACAGTACTTCACTTCCTTTTTGTTGGTGTTCATTTTGTATTGGTTACGGGTTTCTTATGAGTCATGATCAGACCTCCTTGATGGCAGAGTGTGTGCATGTCTGACTGCATTTGTGATTGATACCTTTCACTATGTATTTGGCACCAAGGAGGTCTTCTGTAAACTAATAACTTAGTGGACTGATCAAACAGATGCATACATATAAATAAGAACGCTACTTGCACCATTTCTGCTTTGAAATCATAGCAGCCTCCCGGTGAATATAATTTATCCACTTTCACATAAATTTATTCTACTCATTTTGAAGACACTAGACACTATATAGAACCATCTATATAGTACTTGCTGAATGTGGCATGTGTGAATGAGCTACTTGTATACTTGTCACAAATCTCCAAATAGTACTACTTACGATATTATTTGGTTGTTGGAAGGGCCTGACAGAGTTCTAATTTCTCTCCCTCAGAGAATTACAGATAGGCAAAATTGGAGCAGTAAGTAGGGTTGCTGTGGAAGTGCCCTCTGGACTTTTGTTCAGACGTATAATATTCATTCCAGAACTGAGCTGAAAAGAAACCAGTTTCTCAGTTTTGCAGCAGAAACTGGTTGTGCACAGTGCTGATTGGCTGGTGCCTGTAACATCATGAATCCATAATCCCCCCCCCGGGGTTGTTTTTTGTTTGGTTTAAAAAGGCAGTGAATGAAATTTTAACTGCACAAAGTGACCCTTTGAATAATAAGGCAGATAGATGGCCTTGAAGCATGGGGAAAAGGGGACAAGACTGCACCACCAACGACCACCACTTTCTGGGAATGTATAGTAATGAGAACAACCATGCTGCTTTATTCTGATGCTCAGCCCATATTCCTGGTACTCTTTCTCTGTTCATTGCCCCTAAATTTACTATTCACTTTGGTTTTTAACAAAATGCAGGATTTTTTAAGCTTTTCTGCACTGCTGACAGTCCTCTGTAGTTTCCTTGTCGTTTTTCTACTGTGCAGCAGAAGTCAGCAAGTCATACAATATTTGCAAGCCTTTACTGACAGGCAGCACTATAAGACAACTCAGCCATGTGAACTAAGTTCCCCCACATTCTTCTTTTCCCCTCTCTCTTCTCCATATTGATGCCATTCCTTACACCCCTTTCTACGCTAATACATAACAATGAAGCTGTTAAGCAGAGGAATGGTGATTTCCTCTCGTCTTGCCCTATTGCCTGTTAATTTCACAGCCATTGCATAAAAGTGTGTTCATTTTCTTCGGGCATGTCCTTTTACTGCTTCTAGGGGAAAGTTTTGTTTCCAGTAACCCGTAACAGGCTGTGAACTGTAAAAAAAGAAAAGAAAGAAAGTTAGAATGTGATGTAATTTATAAATCCATTTCTCATAATTAAAAGTGCAGCATGCATATTTAGTCAGAAGTATGTTCCAGTGGGTGGTATTCAACTAAGTTTTCCTCAGAGTAGACCTATTGGAATTAATGCAGCAAAAAAATTATTCAGAGTAGAGTCATTGAAATTAATGGCTGAATCTACTCTGAATAAATTTTTTGCTTGATACTGCCCCCCCCACCTGTGAGTTGGATCCAATCTAAGTTAGTCGCACACAGTGCTATTTTTCCAGAAAAAGAGCTGCCGGAACTCACCATGAATACCACCCTTGTTCTCTTATAATGGCAATGGCACCCACCTGAGAAGGGCTGGAACTGAGTTCCAGTGAGTGCTGGTTGGAAAAAAAAAGTCCCGGTTGCACATAGGTCCCATTGAACTCAAAGTGAAAACTTAAACATGACTACAGTGGTACCTCGGGTTAAGTACTTAATTCATTCCGGAGGTCCATTCTTAACCTGAAACTGTTCTTAACCTGAAGCACCACTTTAGCTAAAGGGGCCTCCCACTGCCGCTGCACCGCTGGAGCACGATTTCTGTTCTCATCCTGAAGCAAAGTTCTTAACCCAAGGTACTATTTCTGGGTTAGCGGAGTCTGTAACCTGAAGCGTATGTAACCCGTGGTACCACTGTAATTTAATTGCCATTGATTCAGTGTGACCCAACTGCAGTGCATCCAGGACTAGAACCCAACTCTCAGTGTCTAACATGACGTCCTCCTAAATACAGTTGTTTAGAACTGCAGCCTGAGTTTGTTTGATGGTCTGAGATGGACCAAATGTAACTGTTAGAATTGTACCTCAAAGTTATGCATGGTACTGCCTCATGATGTGGAAAACATCAGAAGGAATGCTGGGTTGCTTTGATGCTGCTGCCTTGGCAGCCTCTAAGCGCTACTGAGGTGAAACATAACGCAATCACGAGGAGCTGAGGTGACTTAAGGCAAAGGAATCACTCGCTTTAGTTGCGCACCTATGACAGAGGCAAGGAATCTGTGACCTGCCAGGTGTTGGTGGGACATCAGCCCCAGCCAGAATATGTAAACAATAATACAAAATATGAAGTTATTAAAATGCATAAAATGTACGACTCATCCAAGTAGCCAACAATTAAATTCAAACCATGATTCTTAAGATGCTACCCGACTAAGGCATACTCAGAAAGGATCTGCTGATTTCAGCTGGTCTGCTCCGAGTAGGACTTAATGCTGGCTGTCTCCCTTGTCATTTAGTGTATGTATGCTTGCATTTGCTGACAGAGCTGCATAGATGTTGTAGAAATTTTGAATTCAAACATATCTATGATCCATAGTCAATACAGGGCAACCACCACATGGAGGGGGCTTGAAATAACACCTGTGTGATGACCCCCCCCGTCCTGATTTTGCAGTTGTGTAAAATCGTATAACCACCTTTTTTATTTGCAATGCCTACTCTGGCAGATTCCCCACAGTGAAATTGAGACATGCAGTACAATCCTATACATGTGTCCACTGAGTTCTGTGGGATTTACACCCAGGTGAATGACAGTAGTATTGCAGTCACAGTATGTGATGATTTAAGTGTGAAACCTCTCCATATGTTACAGCCACTGTGTGGAACAATTATTCATAAATGGGCAAAGTCATTGGTAACACATACGGCTGGTCCAAAGAGGTCATCAGTGAAGAATGTTGTGGAAGGCCTCTGTCCCCTCATTGTATTACCAACTGTCCATCTTTAATCCTTTCTTTTCATGATCCAAGCTCTTTAAACCGTCTGCAGTTTGAAGAAAATTGGACATTCCCACCACCTCCCGGTTTTGGTGCATCAGATTGGCTTTTCTTCCAAAATCCCTTGACAGTTTTTTCTTAAATGTATGACATTGACAAATAAACCATCAGTTCAGAACCCAGCAGCTCTGGTTCCCTTATTTGGCTCTTTAGAACCAACATATAACGAGCAGAAAAATCAGATTTTTAAAGCTTCCGAGAAAGAGAGCTAAGGCATAATCTGGAGAATATTCACTGTTGATCCTCATGAATCCCAACGGGACTCTCAATAATTCAGGACAACACAGAATCCTGCGTCCATTTATGAACTCAGAAAGAATGGTTCAGGAGCACGCATGCTAAGAAGTCTTTTGGACATTACACTGAACCCTGAAGCTAAGTGGCAACTCAAGAAAAAATGCTACATAGGGGAGAAAATGAGGAGGCAGGATATGGCAGCCACTCTCAAATCATTCACATTTTCCCTTGCAAAACCAAGACTGAATCTGCCAGCTATGCTCGATTAGTTTGCCTTGCCTCTTGGCAATTCTCTTTGTGGTCCATTAGGCTGGAATATAGGATTCTACTTAGCAGGCTTTCAGCTACTGAGACCACATGAGCCAGCTTTTCCAATCTTGTTAGGAATCCAAATAGACACAGTGCACCACTGTGAACAGCCTCTCCTACTTGTACTAGCAAGTCTACATTGGCATATTCCAAAGCAGTGCAGCAATTTGCTTTTTCTTCCTAGCCTATCAGATGTTCTTGACACCGACAATGAGAGGCAGATGGCAAGGCTTCTGAATTAAAACTCGCCCCCTTTAATACCCCTGTGCTGCTGAAACATTGGACACATCATGGCAGAGTTCCCCAAACTTGGGTCTTCAGCTGTTTTTGGACTACAACTCCCATCATCCCTAGCTAGCAGGACCAGTGGTCAGGGGTGATGGGAATTGTGGTCCAAAAACAAGAAAAGTTTGGGAAACACTGGTGCAGATGGAATGTAGTACATATGTGTCATTTGTCAGGGCACAAGGGTCATTGCTGAGTTTTCATCGTCTGCACAGGGACTATGCTGCAGGAGTAATAGAATATATAAGCAGGTGACCCAGCACTCATGTGCATAGCTGTCAACTTTCAGATTTGAAAATAAGGGATCAGTAGCCTCGAAAATAAGGGATCAGCAGCCTCACCTGTCCCGGGGACAGTCAACGGGATATCTAACAATCCGGGATTGCAGCGGGAAGCAGCGGGAAACGGTGCTGGAATAAGGGAATTTCCCGCAAAAAAAGGGAAGGTTGACAGCTATGCTCATGTGGGGGTTACGTTCTGGGCCCCTGCACGCATAAGCGAAAAGTGCATAACTGGGGAGCACCCTCTAAAAAGCCTCTAAACCCCTCTCTGCTCTCTCACCAATCCAGTTCAGAAATACTATAAAAAACCCACAACTAAAGTGGAAGCTCTGGAGCTGGTGGGAGAGCGGAAGATGTGCAGGGAAGCAGCTGCTGTGCTACCCTGTGGCTGAGCAGGCTCAACAAGCCCTGCTGCACCTCCCGTCCCTTTCGACATCCTCTTTGGACTCTGGGGAGGGTCTCCTCCATGAGCCAAGAGGACACTGCAGCTCTCTCCTGTGATTTCCAGCTTGGAATGATTTATTTATTTCCCAGGGCTGTGCATATATGCAGTCATGCATAAGTGGGGGACGCATATACACACACACAGTCAAATTGCAGCATTAAATTAAATTTTGGACATGTTCAATACTGAATAACAAAAACTGTGTGGGTTGTACCATGTCATGTAAAACTACCTCTCTCTCTCTCTCCCCCTTGCAACTGCCCCAGACTGACTCCCAAGCACCCTGTTGGATGCAAACCAGCATCTCTGTATTGTGGTTCCTTATTATTGCCTAATTCTCTTATCATGCATAACTTCTTATCTTCCCCGAGCAAGTGCAAAAGAAACAACTACATGTCACTTACCTGTTTCCTCCGACACTCCTTCCTCCATGGTGAATATTAGACTGGAAGCTACTCAGGAAAAGGGACCTCTCTGGAAAATGCTTTGCATGCTGATGGTGCCATATACAATTAATAAACTAACAGCATAATACAATAATAGCAACGATCATGTGGACGCCATTCTACAGTTGTTTAAATTATGCGTAAGACTCTTTGTATTTTAAAAATCATTTTATTATTCTGCCTTTAGCATTCTGTTGTTCTTTGATTTTGTTTTCATGTATCACTAGCTGCCTTGAGCTCAGTTGCACTTGCAGAAGGATCACATGACTCGGACCATTTACACAACTGCCTCCGAGTGCCCTCTCCCATTTCGTAGAGTCTGCTTGGCTCCCTGGCGTACCCTGGACCTCAGGGCGATGAAACAACGTGCTTGAATGCAAGTGGAGAAAAACTTCAGAGGAAGTTGGTGCATGCTCACAATCAAGGCTACTCAGTGGCAGCGAAGGTGGAAAAGGAGGCATCATCTGCTGCCGTCATTGCATCCTCATTGGTATCTAAAGCACCACCATATGCAGTGTGGTGATAGTGGAAAAAAATTAGGGGAAATACTGTAGGTGCTTCAAATTTATATCCATTGTTTGGCTTCACGGGTCGCCAGTGTGGTGCCATTAGGCTTGCAGAGGTCTTCACTGCCATCTACAGGGTCCTCTCCCTCTGCTGAAAGAAGTCATCTGTGATAGCCAATAGCAGGTACGGGGAACCTTTTCGCCTGAGGGAGGCATTTCCTTCTAGGGCCAAACTCCAGCGGTTGGTGTGAGCGGAGGCAAAAGTGGGCGGAGCAATGCATGCAAATGTTACGTTTGTCCAGTAGGCTAGTTTCTACATGTATGAACCGTCCATGTCTAGCCTCCACCTGGATCAGTAAGAGGCATGATCAGAGTTCAAGAACACATCCCACAAGGGTGCAAAGTGGGGCAAATGAGAGTTGTGGTGCGGGGAGATAAAGTTAAAGAGGTCTTTAGGTCTGAGGTTCCCAGCCTCTGGCCAACAGATAGGTTTGCCATATTTCAAGCAGCGGAAATCTGGACACAAACAAATTGTTGACCTTTTTTCTTTTTGAAATTTGCTTTTCTGTTTAATCATATCATCGATGCATACTGTGTTACAGTCAAACACAAGGTAATCAGAAAAAACAACAACTTAAATATAACACATAGGTAAAAGAGTAATAATCTTAATATAACTTATTCCTCCACTCTTATATACCTTGACTTTAACTCCCCTTCCACTCTTTCCCTGTTTTCCTATCTGATATCTTTTCAAACTGTGTTTTCTTACTAAATCGTTTTCATTACCATACCCTGAGATTTTTCAGTTTCTCACACTTATTTTCTTGTTATATTTTTTCCATATAATCTATATATAATGTCCAGTTTTCTCTTAGTTTCTTATCATCTTTATTTCTTAATCTGTTTGTCATGCCGGCGAGTTCTATATAATCTAATATTTTAAGGTGCCATTCTTCTTGTGATTGTATTGCATCTGTTCTCTACTTTTGTGTTACCAGAGTTTGGCCCCTGTGGTCACATCCATCCATAATGTAGAGTGATTTTTTGAGATTTCTATTGTTATTATTCAAAGAAGGAAAAGCTTCTGGGTTTTTAGGAAATGTTCTTTTAAACATTTTCTTAAGTTCGTTATAAACCATCACCCAGAATTCTTTTATTATTCTGCAAGACCACCATGAATGATAAAATAAACATTTTGGAGTCAATGATATTGTTGACCTTTTAAAAGAAAATTCCCAAAGTTTCAGAGCATTATTATTATTATTATTTTAGAAAAATTCCAAAGTTGTTGAGGAAACGAGTTTTCCAAACGTGTTTTTTGGTTATGTTGACAAAAATCCAAGACGAACTGTTGCTTTTCAGAAATCCGCCCCTCGCCCCGCAGATGTCACTTCCACCATTGAAATCCAGGTAATGTCCGGGAAAATCATGATTTATGGCAACCCTACCATAGAGCAGGTTGTGTGCTGTGCCCAGTTTCTCTGGTTTGCAAATGTGCCCACAGGTCTAAAAAGGTTGGCACTCTGTTTGACATGGTCTGACTGTGCTGATGCCAACAAAATGGTTTCTGTTCACAAGGCATTTGACTTCCCTCCTCTGAGTGAAAAGACTCTAGTGTTTATAGAAACTGTAGCATTGTCCTGCAATAAATATTTACTCAGCTTAAGGTGTCCATTCGTGGGAAAAACCAAACTAATAAAGCTACCATCCACGGTGATTCCCATCTTTGAAAAGAAGGCTTTCGTTTTTTGCTTCCTTAACAACGCAGATTAGGAACTCGATCTCATCAACAAACCCTTGATTGTTGGCGTCGCACTTCGATACGTCTTGAGATTTAAGAACACCCTTGGAGTAAATTCAAAGGCTTCTTCCACACTCCCGGCAACAGAAAACCGCAAAAGGCTAAATATGATCAGCTGTGGAAAGGAGAAAAAGCAGCCAGAAAAGAATTAAATCCAAGCACTTGTCTGGTTTCATATATAAAATTTCAACCTTCTCTTCCACAATGGTTGAAAGGCGTGAGTTCAAAGATGGAGAGAAATTGCAGCTGGCTTTGTTTTGCAATGCCAAGGAGGAGATCCTGTTAAACAGGAAGCTTAGGATCTTGGAGTCCATGAAGAAGCAGGCAGAAACCTCCTTCACTCTTGATCAAAGAATCTTGTACAACAGATTCAGCCTCAAGCTCAGGAGGTCAGAAGCGGCTCATGCCAAACTGCACGGCAACAGAGACCTTGCCAAACAGCTTTCCCAGAGCCTCTTTCCAAATCTGCATACGGTTGTGACGGATGGTAGCAAAAAGGCGGTGAGAGTTATACTGCAGAATGAGGAAGCCTCCCGGACTGTTTCAGCTCCGTGCAGAATCCAGACTCATCTGGCTGCAGTCTCAGTTGCCAAGAATCAGAGCTGCCAAGACTTGCAAGGTAAGGAAGCAGAGATTAAGGATCCACAGAGCTACCTTGGAGCTATTAAGGAAATTGATGCACAAAGAGGATATCGCAGGAAGGATGTATCAGCTGCTAAAAAGGTTTCCATTTGCAAAAGGCAAACTGACTTAAGTGAGCCTATCGGCATTCTTGGATACAAAAGGCCCTTCACTGCCTATCCTCAGAAACACGACAGGCTGTCCGATGTGAATTACAGATATCAAGGGATTTTGGAGAGAACTTATTCACAGCTACAGCATCCACAAGCTGAGGCTACAGATCCTAACATGTCTTTGTGCCCTGAAGGACTTGTAAATAAAGGACTGAAGGAAGGCTTTCTGGAGCAAAAAAAAAGTAGCAAGGGGGAAAGAAATAAAAAATGGAGACCTAACTCTAGGAATCTTTTCTTAGGGTTGGACAACACACCACAGGGAAGATACTCCAGCATGGGAAATCACGTGATGGTAGACAATCATGGCAGTTTTAATAACAAAGTCAAGCTTTTTGTCCAGAAGATCGCAGCTTTAAAAAAGGAGGCAGACTCTACTTTACAAGATTATTATTCTGAGCGACTGGTAGAAAATTTAGGGAGTCAGGTAAAACAGGATTTTCTATGGGATACTCAACAGGAGCAGGCAAAATGGAATCCAGTAGGTCCGGAAACCAATCACCGAAGCATTACAATAAAGAATTTGGACAGGGATTTTATGAGAAAGGAAAGTCCTTTAGAAATTCTGATATGGGAATATTATAATGAGATTATTACTAAAGAGAACCTCATTGAAAGAAAGTGGTTGAACAATAATCCTTATCAACTGATCGTAAACTAAGGTTTGGAGTTTCCAATAATCTTTCACACACACCCTACAGTATTTAGCCCATATGATTTCAAGAGAAAATATGCGCTGGTAACTGTTGCTTAAAACCAGAAAGAGCCTTACCTGAAGGGATAGGATTTACTTAATATTTCTAATTACATGCACTCCCAAAACTTGCATTAAGTGCTCAGTGATCTACAGTTACTTTGTTAGGCCCAACATATCTTTTGACAGTTTGTCAAGGAGAAATAAATTTCAATCCCAGTGTAGATTGAAAAAATGAGCAAACATATGCATATGAAGATCTGCTTAAGTAGGGTAATTTAATTGAAGAAAATACTTCAGTTGGGACTGGAGACCTACAAGCAACTTACAAATGGACAAAAATGTCAAGTCCTGATAATAAAATTCTTCCTAATAATTATCAACATGTTTACCGTATGAGTAATTTATTAAATGTATTAGGGTAAAGGCGATAGGTGGCATCAGATTTGTTTGTGCATCAGGATTTCCTTTCTCTCCTCCCCTTGATAAGACCCCCAAGCCCCACTCAAGAGTTAGCAGACCATATAGAACAGGTATCTGCAAGGGACAGAAGGAGGGGAAGTCCTGTTGTACAAGCAGAACTCCACTCATCCAATACAGTGATACCTCAGGTTAGACGCTTCAGGTTACAGATGCTTCAGGTTACAGACTCCGCTAACACAGAAATAGTACCTCGAGTTAAGAACTTTGCTTCAGGATGAGAACAGAAATTGTGCTCCGGTGGCGCAGTGGCAGCAGGAGGCCCCATTAGCTAAAGTGGTGCTTCAGGTTAAGAACAGTTTCAGGTTAAGAACGGACCTCCGGAACGAATTAAGTACTTAACCCGAGGTACCACTGTACTGGATATGACCCAGTTCTTCCACCAAAGGAGAGGAACTTTGGCACATAGGCCAGAATCTCTCTTCCAATGTGCCACTTTACTAACCTTATACCGACATGGAGCTGTGCCTTCTTCCAGATTCCCTTCTGCCTCTTTTCCATAAAACCGAACTCAGTGTCTGTTGTTTTCTTTCCAAACTCAGCTAGATTATATTGTGGAGGGATGATGTGGCTCAACTTGTCACCTTTCAGAATCCACCTGGCAGAATCCAGGGCTCTTTTCCTGCTGCCACTGAGGTTGTTGCTATTTGTTGTATTAACGGTTGTGTCAGCTGCCGTTAATGCAGCAGTATCAGGGAGAATGATAAGTCTTCCTCTGGCCTTTACTTACACTGGTGGAAGCATCAAGGACTCCAATCCCAATTAATCCTTGTATCGGTTGTCTTCACCCTAGTTTATGCTAGAGCAACGTGCTAAAATGTGTAACAGTCCTCTCCTGAGACACCTGAGTGGAAATTGCTCCCTCTTAAAAGGACAGGTTCTTGGGAATGGGAGTTAAACAGACCGAAACCCTTGATAATGTATAGGTACTTATTCTAAGAAAGAAAATCTAATAGAATTGGCTGCCCTAGATCCATGCTTTTATCAAGTCATCTAGAGAAATTTGTAACCTGGAATTCTACACAGAAAGCTCCCCACAGAAGGGAATCTCTCTGCCCCACTGTAAGTGTTCATGTGAAATTGCCTTACAACCAGGGATGGAGAACCTGCACCCCATCAGCCAAAAGTGGCCTGCCAGGCCTTTTTGGGACATGACTTCATTTGTGAACTCAAGCGAGTGACAGGTGGGAAGCCTTGCCTAACTTGTCAAATGTAACCCTCAGAGCCAAAAAGGTTCTGCACCCCTGCCTTACATCAGATCAGGATACAGTACAAGACACAGCATGAGTCATAGAACTGTAGAGTTAGGACACCAAGAGTCATCTAGTCTAACCCTTCCCCCCAGTTTCAACTATCTTATAATTGGCACAGTTAGCAAGGCCACTGCTGGGTAATATCTGGCTGGTGCTGATTTGGAACAGAGTCTCCTCAGTAGCAGCTCCCTTCTTACGGAATGCTCTCCCTGATGAGCTACTTTTATCTCCCTCATTAGTTACACCTGGATAGAACTTTACAAAATCCATGTCTTCCCAGGTGTTTGATGGCTAAAATATATTGTTCAAGATTGCCAGGGACTTGTTTAGCTGTGAGAATACAAGATTGTTTTAAATTTGTTTTTTAAAAGTTCCTTTCTCTTTGCTACTTTGCTGCCCTGGACTCCTTTGGTGAAAGGCCAGGACAGAAATTTAACAAACAGAAAGTAATGTTTATATATAGTATTAGAAATGACCATTTACTGTACACAGTCCTAGATAAAAAGCACAGTCCGCTATCTCTCATCAGTGCTACTGATACACAGTATTGTATTCTTTAAAAAGGAGACACAGAAGTACAGTGGTACCTTGGTAGCTGAATGGCCTGGCTCCTGAAAAAATCGGCTCCCGAACGCCGCAAACCCAGAAGTGAGTGTTCCGGTTTGTGAACGTTTTTCGGAAGCCGAACGTCCGACGTGGCTTCCAATAGTGTGCAGGAAGCTTCTGCAGCCAACTGGAAGCTGCGCCTTGGTTTTTGAACCGTTTCGGGAGTTGAACGGACTCCTGGAACGGATTAAGTCTGAGAACCAAGGTACCACTGTACAGGTAAACAGACTAGGTGCTCATGTTACAGAAACTATTACTATACAAAAGAGACCCACAACAAAATGTTGCAGTGTATCCTCCCTCCTAACAGGAGTGCTGCTCTCCAGAGCTTTGTGGTGTTGGAAGGCGGCCTAGTGTAAGAACTTAAAAACCAATTAAATGTAGGAGGTGACTTCAACTACAACCGTCCACACGCATAATTACAACACAGCGTTAGTCATGCTGAACAAATGGGACTCTCTTCTGAGTTGGCCTGCATAACAGCACTGTTAAGAGGAAATAGATCAATACAACATCTAGTGCCTTCTTAGGAGCCCCCGGAAAAGCTCATCATTTATCTATTAACATAGGAAATTGTTTCAGCCATCAGAATTTCATCCCTTCAGGTGCCTATTTTAAAACTGCCCGTTAATTGAGGCATATACAAATAACCACAGAAATTATATGCTTAGCACCTCCCACCCCCTGCTCTCACCTATAAGATGAGTAAAAAGCCCCACTAATGTCAAGACACATTTGAGAGTGGTAAAGGCCGTCAGTTTCAAGTGAATTGTTAAGGACAGCTTTATACCAAAGGGAGTCAATAAACAGGGCAGTTTAAATCCAAGTCACTCCAACGATACCGGGGTTAACTTACGAAACTAAGAAAATCACTTTTCTTCTTTGTCACTGGACCATGGTGGAAAACATCACTGTTTTATTTAGCATTATTGGTACATAACAGTTGCCTGTATCTATTACTAAAAAAAATTAATAAAATAATCCTGAAAGACACATTTTTTCTCTCCCTCAAATGAAATAATACCAATTCTTCACAAATCAAGCTGATTTGTTGTGTGTAGTAGTCAAGCATAGCAATCACCAAGGCACAAGCTCAGATCTGCACATCAGTTGTCACTTGCAGTTAAGACGAGGTATGCCAATTACATTGTCTTGGTTAAAAATGTACAGTCCCTTTATTTTATATTGTTACAGCGGCGATCACCAGCGTGCAGGGACAATCTGTAGAAAGGTAAGGGCTCCGTCCCTCTGATGTAGGATGCAGATTTAAAACACTCCAAACCTATGGCATGTTATATAAGAGATGGACGTGAGCTTAGGGTTTATTTCCAAGACATACAGTGAATAATTGGTAGTAGTACAATGCAAACTTGCCCTTAAGATGTTTAATTATTCCCCCACCATTGCTAAACTGGGGTGGGGGTGGGGAGGTGAAGAATCCCTTGGCTGCACCACTGATCATACGACTTGAAAAAGGAACAACAATTCATTAAAATAACTTGCAGGGAAGACTGGATTGTCTATTTAAAATGTCAACATAATAGGCAATTAAAATTTCGTTTTAAGTGCACTTTACATGCTTTTGATTATAGACCCAACGTTCCGATTTCTCCAACAACACATTTCATCCTACTCTAATGCTGTTTGGCTGAAAATGCACTTTTCCCAGTAAACACCTTTTTTTAAAAAAAGAAAAGAAAAGACAAAACCCAACCTAACTATGTTTACGCTTTCATACAGCTAGAAACCTTGCTAATTAAAAACACTGTATGCTACAAGACAAGACATGTGAAAGACAACATATATATTGAAATTAGATTTTTTTTTTAATCGTTGTGCTGTGACTAAAGTAAAAGTTCTCAAAGGCTGCAGTTAAACATTCCAAAGTTCTCCCTTCCATTTTTTATTGAGTCTAAAGATTTTTCCACACATTTCTTTGGGGGCTAGAACAGCAGTCATTGCATCACACCATTTCGCTTTCCAAGACTTCAAGTTTCAAAAGCAAAACTGTCCAAAAAAGTACAGTTCTTGATTTTTGATTTGATTAAACTGGGACGAAAAATGTAGCACATACTTAAAAAGGTTACACAATCTACAAATGATGGCAATATTTTTCCTCGGGAGAGTACAGTTTCGTTTTCTTGTAAATACTCAAAAAAGAAAAAGAAAAAAAAGAAAAAGGCTCAACTTCAAGCAGTAATAAACACAAGCAAAAGTGATTTAACCCTTTAAAATAAATATTCAGGAAAACCTCTCTGTACATACAAGTGAAAGAATATGTAACACTTTCACGCTAAAAGAAAAATAATTTGTTCAAAGAAGCAGCTGAAATCTGCTGTTCCAGCCCAATGTCCCCAAGTGAAGAAGGGGGCACAGACACGAGTGACTACTGTAGCTCTCTATATCTTATGGCCTTTTTGTGGGGGTGGGGTGGGGGTTATTTTATTTATTTATTTTGGACAGGGACACCATCACCACCAAATCTTTTTAATCCCTTTTGTTATTTTATTTATTTTCGTTACAGCATGCCAAATCCTTTGGCATATGTGATGGCCTTCAACAATCTCTCTTTAAGTTTTTCTTTGCTGGAGTACTCTGGAAGCAGAAGGACATTAAAGCATGTGTGAGACGTCGGTAACCTACGGAGAAAGGGAAGAGGAGAAAACGATCAGGTCACGGGAGAGCGGAACACAAAACGCACAAGCCATTACTGTAGCTTTTCTCAAATCAACAACTAGTACAGTCGTACCTCGGAAGTCGAACGGAATCCGTGCTGGTAGTCCATTCGACTTCCAAAACATTCGCAAACCAAGGCGCAGATTCCGATTGGCTGCAGGAAGCTCCTGCAACCAATCGGAAGCTGCATCGGACATTCGGGTTCCAAAGAACCTTCACAAACCGGAACACTCACTTCCAGGTTTGCGGCGTTTGGGAGCCAAAATGTTTGACTCGCAAGGCATTTGACATCCGAGGTATGACTGTAGTGGGGACTGAGGGAGAACTCACTCAGAAAGAGGCTAAAAATCTATTTTTTACACTTGCAGCATAATACACTTACATTTCTGAATTTTAAAGTAAGATTTATGTCAAACGAGTTTACCTTTCTGTGTCGGGGCCATTTTTGGCTATAATCATCTTTAGTTTTCCGAGTCCTCCTACTGGGGCTCTGTCTGTGCCTGTTGTAAACTGGAGGAATAGTCTTTTTTGCTCGTCTGTAAATGAATGGACTATTTCCCAAAATTCTCTGTTGAAGCAAAAATGAAAATAAATAAATATTCTGGGCAGAGCAAAACGTCTTGTGCTGCTTATATCTTGCCCTTAACCTTAGAAGTAGCAAATGCAAGCATACTGTATCAATATACAGTGGTACCTCTGGTTACCTACTTAATTCGTTCCGGAGGTCCGTTCGTAACCTGAAACTGTTCTTAACCTGAAGCACCACTTTAGCTAATGGGGCCTCCCGCTGCTGCCGCTGCACGATTTCTGTTCTCATCCTGAAGCAAAGTTCTTAACCCAAGGTACTATTTCTGGGTTAGCGGAGTCTGTAACCTGAAGTGTATGTAACCTGAAGCGTATGTAACCCAAGGTACCACTGTATTGCTTAAGGGTGTTTTCAAATGCAAAAATATTATATAAAGAGGCACACATATATCTCAATCCAGGTAGGGGAATATGGTGCTTCTGAATGTATATTCCTACCTGACTGAAGAACTGCATTCACATTTCTTCAAACGCCTACAGACTTCTACCCAGCTGCAGTGGTCTGTTTTAGGGCTTTGGATGGGGATGAGGACAGTGGATGGCAGTCTACCTTCTCATTTCCCACACTGCCTAAGTTACCTAACGCTCCCCTTTCTCATTACTATCCTTAGCTGTTGAGAGCGCTAACATGCACATACTACCACATGACGCAAAATTTGAGAATGGGTCCTCCAGTGTTTTTGGCAAGTGCAAAACTTTTCCAAATAGCCACGTTGATTACAAAACAGAAGTTGCTACTGTATGACCAGGCGAGGCTCTAGGAAAAGCTATTTGGGGGAGCCAGGAAAGGTCAAAGACCATTATTAGGCGAACAAGGATCTAATCCATGCAACACAGGGCCTGAAAACTGGGAGGGGACAATAAATATTTGGGGCGGGGAGCATCCCCTCCTCTTTGCTACTCTTGTAGTCATCCTTCCACATGCAATTTTTTAACCTATAAGATCTTCTGGTTTAACCACAGAATGGACAAGAAAAAAAGATCTAGTATATTTTAAAACTGGAAGCCTTAAACACATCTCTTTTTCGTTTTCTAAACTGTGCATTATCTGGTACATTTGTGTCGTAATTTAGCTATTCACACCACTTGCTAACAGGCAGAGTCTTCTCCTTTTAGCCACAGAAAAACTTAAACCTCCTACCTAATAATTAGAGAGTCTCTGGTATAGCCGCCATCATACTCCGTAGTTTCTTCTAGAGCTTGAAAGTCTAGGTTCTATAAATACAAGACATTGTATCACCACCTCAGACTTTAGATATTCAGCAGAGAGCAAGTTATTGTCTTTTGCACGTTTCAAGTGCCTTACCCTACTTCCGCAAATGAGCAATTCAATCTCTTCGGGTCTAAATAAATATTTTAGGGGAGATTCGTTGGTTACCATGTGGAATCCTCTTCGAAAGGCCTTAAACTGCTTCTCTACTGATTTGTTGAGAATGTAGTCAGAATACAGATTCACAAATTCCTGTTTAATAAAAAGACAAATAATGCAAGGTTTCCTCAGTGGTCAAGTGCGAATCTTTGTTTCAACTAACAAGTGGCTACAGGTGAGAAATAGGAAGAACTGCTGCCGAAAATCAGAACAGACTTCCCCCTATTTAATAACTTATATTTATATCATTCGGGCTGCTAATAATTTTGAGCTTTCCCCAAATAAATCCTATTTCTTTTCACTCCATCCATGAAATCAAGTGGTTTACAAAACAAGCCACAGAGAATGTTACACATCATCATCTACTTCTAATAAAGGTATTTAAAAATCTAATAAATAATAACAATAACAGCAACAATTTATACCCTGTCTATCTTGCTGCATTTTCCCAGCCACTCTGGGCGGCTTCCAGCAGAATATAAAAACATAATAAAACATCAAACATTAAAAACTTCTGAATACAGGGCTGCCTTCAGATGTCTTCTAAAAATTGTGTAGTTCTTTATCTCCTTGACATCTGATGGGAGGGTATTCCACAGGGAGGGCAGTACCACAAGAATTTCCCCCAAAATCACTTCTCAGAATCATATTTTATCAGAATCCCCTACTCAGTGGTTCATCCTATACTCCCTCTCTCATTATCTTTTGCTAGCAGGCAGAGATGCTTTCATTCATATAGCCTTTTGGCCTTACAAGTTGACTTGTTAGGGCAATTGTAAGTCTGCTGAAATTAGTTGAACTGGTGGCATTTCTTTCAGTTTTGTTGATATGTTTCACTCAATTTATTTTCACACTTTTTATTTATTTTGCTTTGTATTTTATTGCTGTTAGTCACCTTGAGCACTATTTGTTGTTGTACAAATTTAGCAAATGAGAAAATACAACTTTCTGACAGCCTCAGCAGAGATCATGCAAATGAGCTTAATTTATATAAACGCATACAAGGTGTGTTTCTATCTGTTCTCCTGGAATATTGATCAAGTAATCACTCAGCAACTGGTGGCCCATTCAAATTACCTTTCTGTTTTCATTTGTAATAGGGATTTTATCTCCATTTTCCTTTAAATCGTGCATCATCGGATTACCAAAGAGATCCGTATGAGATATCTGGAAGGTTATCATCATATCATCTTCCACGCTTCCCTCATACTGCAACAAGTCTCTTAAGCTTTGATAGAGAACCTAAAACGAAACAAGACATATTTCATAAGGATTTAAAGCCCCAGCAACAGACCTGGTAATTATGCAGTATGCATGAACGTTATGGGTCAAACTGTATGTTTTTACTTACACCCATGTCAGTTTCCAGATTTAAACGAAAAGCAGCTATAGGATACTGTGAATCAGATCACAGCAACTGTGGAGGGGGAGAGAGCTCTTTAATCCTTTATTCAAAGGCTGTTTTTCCTATCCAAATCACCTTCATGGGCTGTTTTTCCACAGGCAGGGAAGAGATCCCCACATCCCGGTAAGTGGAAAAGCAACAAGGGGAGGACAAATTTGAATGGAAAAAGCTCTTTACAACCCCTTGCCTACTGCTCTGATCAAGGTTGTGGCCTCCCAGAGCTGCCTTTCATTAAAAAAAAAAAATGCACACAGTAAGATACTGTTTCAAGCAAGTGTGTGTCTTAACAATGGCTATAAGTGGAGTCTGATAAAGAGCAGGGGAGGCGGGCGGACACACTTCCTTTTGCATTTGGAGAAGAAGTTATCCTATTTTTACTATCCATAATTTCCAATAGATTTTCAACTAAAGGAAACTTTGGAACAGATGCAAGTTTCTGTTTTGGACTGAAATAACACCGAGAACATCACGGTCATTGTTTGCTTTCACAACTACATTGTGAAGTTTCAGAAAGCTAGTTTCGAAACTGTTGTGATCGTCCATATAACTCAGCTGCCAATATGGCTTGCTGCCACCCTATACATTTAAGATCTCAGCTGCTTAGATAAGACAAACAGGTTAAGTGACCCAGTCACCCTCCCTTACACACACGCTCCCCTCTTCTTCAGTACTGGCAAAGCATATTTGTGTGGACAGTACAGGCCTCTTGACACTGCACATTGTGCAGCCTTTTCCTTGAGCACCTGACATCATGTTCTGTATATTTAACAGGTGACTAGAAGTGTTGCTAAATGTTGACTTTTCTAAAATGCCCATTAAGCAAACTTCCGCAAGACTAAGAGCTGGTGTGGATATGTGCAGTGAAGCGGCAAACAGTGGGAGCTGTGAAGTCACCAGTTTAAACACTGCCTCTGTCATGAACTACTAAGCAAGCAACACTCTCAACTTTGGTCCCCATTATGCAATTTTGAGACAATGGCCACTGATGTTTCATGCAAGAGAACACTCAGAGAGTGTCACACTGCCAACAACAACAACAACTATTCTAAGTACAGATTTCCAAACGTAATTATCAACTTACAGGGTGAGAGTCTGCCAGGTCACGGAAAGTTCCTTTTTTGCCCATTAGTTTCCTGTAGACAACCATTGGGAAATGGACGTCCAGTATACAGTTATTGTAAATGGCTAGACCCAGCACAATTCCAATCAGTGTAAACTGTCCCTCAGTTTCAAAAGACGATGGGTTAAACCAAAACAATTTTGTAGACTCATCATAAGTGAACATTCCTGTAAAAAAGCATGTCAAAATTAATACCGATGAATTGAATAGCAAGACTTTTTTTAAAAAGAAAAAAAATGAAAGCTTAATTTTTATTATTATCGTTACTTAATAAATTTGTATCCGAAGATTGCAGGGTAGTTCACAACATAACAATATAAAAAACACAAAAAATGCATAATAAAAACAAGAACACACCAATCAATAATTTCCCCTCCCAGAACACATTTAAAAGGGCATCGGATGTCAGTAAGTAAAAGGCCTGGTGGAAGAAGAATATTTTGACCTGGCGCCTAAAGAAGTATAAACCCGGAGGGAGAGCATTTCCACAAATGGGGAGCCATTGTAGAAAAGGCCTGTTTTCATGTTGTCACCTTCTGGGCCTCTTGTGGAGGAGGCACATGAAGAAATCCACCTGTTCTTTAGTCACAGCTTAGTTCACAGCATCATCCGGGCTTCATTCAAAAGTCCCCATGTATAATAAAGCTACCACAATATTCCAAAATCCACTGAAACTGTGTGTGTGTGTGCGTGTGTTGGAAATGGATGCTTGAACATTCCATGACATACACACTACCTGCACAAGGAGAGCTAACATTTTAGGGAGAAGGCAGCTAGCTACAGCTGGCTTCCAGTGGGCAGGTGAGCACTCAAAACCAAGGCACACTTGCATGTGAAAATGGTGTACCATCCCCTAGAAGGACTGTCACGTAATTTTGCTGACTTGTCACAAAATGGTGTCTAAGGCTGAGGTACACAAGCTACAAGTAAAAACAAAAAACCTAGAAAGATGGGTTTTCATATGGCTCTGGAAAGAGTAGATAACTGTTAAGAAGACGAGACCATTTTGCATATTAAATAAATACGAAGTTAATTACGTACCAATATCTGGGTTGAAGATTTCCTCTACAACTAGCTGGAAAAACTCTTTGGAAACTCCTCCTTCATCAACCCCTTGTTCTCCTTCAAATTCCACATACAATTGCTTTTTCAAATCTGCTGGATTTTCCATGGCAATCATTTCTAACTATTGAATAAGAAACAAAACGTTCCTTTAGTACATCCTATTTTATAGGTCACCATGCCGTGTATATACTAAACAGCCCCACCTCCCTCTGCTGCTTCACTACAATATACACAAGCAAAAATGAAAGCTGTTGTTTTATCTTAAAAATACATTTTAACAGACGTAAGGAATAGTGAGACTCAGAAAACGAAGCAGTTTGTTACAAGTGATTCAGGGTAACGGTCACAATAAATACTTGCCATAGAAAATATTTATAGTCTGTTATACAGAACAGCAGGGGACATAATGAGGTTCACAGTGAGGGGGGTGGACAATGTGACCCACTTTGGGCTCATCCCATTGTGGTGTCTAAGAAAAAAGAAGGAGGGGATGAAGTTGACTGGGAAGGCCTGCAAGCACTGTGCACATGCCTAGAGAATGTTTTGGATGGCTCTGCTAGACCGGGATGGAGGAATATAACACTACCACCACCACCACTCTGGGTGACTTCCAACAAAAGATTAAAAATACATTTAAACATTAGTCATTTAATACTTCCCTAAACAGGGAAAGGTAAGAAAAAGAGGAAAAAGGCTTCCCAAAGTGCTCTTGGAACTATCCCCAAGAGTAGGAACCACACCGTCCTCCCTCTAGTTGCTGCTTCAGAATTTGAACTTTTGGCTCAGAGTTTGAGGGGATTACTGTCATCTCCAGCGACTAGTACCGTTCCCGCAGCAATAGCTGAGGATGACTCCTATTGTCTCAAAGCCTTGCACAAATCCTACAGAGATCTCTCCTCCCCTCCCCAATTCTTTCCTTTAGAACGCACAACAGTTTTAACTTTTAGATTCAAACTTAAAAATAGTCCACAGGATCTTAGAGTACATCTTACAAGTTCATATTCTGAATAAGCCTTAAAAGGAGCCTTGAAGATAGACATGACAGTATCTGCGAAGGATCAGAAGCCACGATCTACACAGTGGCTTGAATCCTTAGAAAAAGAACTTCACAGAATAGATGCTTCTCCTTCCCTCCACCCCAGCTGCTTATCGCAAAATCTTCTGGAGCCCTCCCATCCATCCCTCTAGAGAGGCATTTTGGGTTGCATAAGGGTCCATAGGGGAAGAAAAATGTTTCTTCTGCAAGATTCCTTAAGATTCCTTGATTTCTATACTAGAATTGTAGAGTTGGAAGGGACCATGAGGGCTATCTAGTCCAACCCCCTGCAATACAGGAATCTTTTCCCAAGTGGGACTCAAACCCACAATCTGGAGATGAATAGTCTCTTGCGCTACCGATGGCAAGTTAACCAGTACTGTACCGTATTTTTCCGTGTATAAGACTAAGCCCCCCCCCTAAAAAACAATGTCAAAAATTAGGGGGTGTCTTATACTCTGGGCCATCTTCCCCCATTTTCTTAAATCTGAGTCTTATACATGGGGGTGTCTTATAGACGGAAAGTATTTAAAATCCAATCCAGATGTAAAAGGAAGGAGCGACCAGGGAGCTTGCTGGTTTGTTAGACAGCCGCCGCTCCATGTGCCATTGATTAAGCTGAGCCTTGTGTGCAGGTGAGAGTGAACAAACACTAACTGCTTCAGGTCTGAATTGGCATCTCTCTGTTGAGCACAGGAAGGCAACACACGAGGCTCAAGGTGGCTTCTTCATGTGGCACTAAACTATGGTTTAGCATGTGTGAGCAAAATTCTGTAGAGTTGGGGCACATTTAATACAACTCATGCCCATATTTTTGCGTTTATCCCAGTTTCTTGAATTTTTTCTTCTGCACCATTAGATTGGATATCTATATGTAGCCTTCAAAGTAGAAGGCTTAAAATATCTATTTATACAATAGATATTGAATCCAAACTGACACCGTTAACACTCAATATTATTAAGAAAACTGACAACTGGTTCAAACCCAAGTGAACCATGCTGCTCCTTGCTACAGATGATGGGAAAAAGTCACCAGCTAATCTACCCAGGAGCAAGTTTGATGCCAAAACACTCCATCACCCACCATACAGCAGACATAATAAAAAACCACTAAGATTATCAAGGGAAAGTTCTCTCTGTATTGCACAACACTTTGTACTGCCCAGTTTCTCACTGCTAAGTTTTCTGAAGCCTTACAGGGGAAAGAACTGTAGAGAATGATCTTCTGACCCTCCCGGGATGCAATTAATGCCATTACTGGGTTAACACAAACTTTCTTGACTCCTCTAAGAAGGAAACGTAACACATAAAATGTGTACCATCATTGAAATTGGGGCAACGTTTTACTTTTGTACTACGGAAAGGTATCTCATTTAATCCAGCCACTTGGAACAAGGTCATTAGAATATGATTGGAGCAATTAAATATAAAAAGGCGATAAAGAACTTTGCTTTACGAGTAGACATTTTTACTGACACGAGATATGCAAGGAGAGTTTTATGGAGTGAAGCTGTATGCAAATCAATCAGTTAGGCAAAATGTTTCAACCGACAATGGCCTTGTTCTCACATCCCAGCAAACCATAGTTAATGGTTTATGGCAGCGGTTTTCAACCGTCCTCGGCTCCCTTGACCAACCACATTTTTTTGGCAGCACCCCTGCGGGGCTCAGGAGCCCAGTTATTGTCTGCAGAGCTGGCAGCCTCTCACCATTTTCCAAACACCCTCTTGTGTGGAGTGTTCCCTCAGCCTCCTCTTCTCTCCTTCGGAGTCCTCTGGGCAGTTGCTGCAGCCGTCCCTGGTCTATGAGCTGCCCCCTCCCTGCCCCAAAGAGAGGTGCCTCCCAGAGACACCATTCGCCCGAGGAGCTGCAACAAACAGCTGTGCACATCTTTGGGAGGCAGGGACTCGAGAAGGCATCAGAGGGAGGGAAGGAAAGAGGGACAGAGGCCAGTGTTGCCCGTGGCACCCCTGACCATCATTTAAGGCACCCCAGGGTGCCACAGCACAGTGGTTGAAAAACACTGGTTTATTGTGACCACACTGATCTTGCTTCTCTGCAGCATATGCTGAGAGGAAACAAAACTGAACTACCTTAGTGATACATTTAAAGCAGGGATTGTAGTTTGTTTCACTCCCTAACCAGGATGTGTAGCCAAGGTTTGTTTTTGTTTTGCTTGCTGGCAGCAAAACAGTCCGTGCCTCCTGGTTTTGACATAATGCGAAGTCACGAATCCTGGTTTATATCCCCTGTGTGCCAGCAGGTGAGAGTCATATTGTCCAGATAGGCACATTCATACCAAACTATTACCTACAGTTTCCAAAGACATGTGAATCGGGCTAATATATTCTATGTCATGGAGGAGGAACCTTCAGATCATGGGCAAAACAAGGCCCACAAGGCAATTTCCCCACCTTACATCATATGACATCAGGTGAAGGGCAGGTAAAGTCACAGCTACACAAAAGCAACCGGGAATCTTAGGATGCACCCCCAATTCTTCTTCTGCAAATGGGACTTGCATCCAGAGGCTTTTAAATTTGGTACCAAATGCAAGCACTTGCAAGCTCACGATCAGAGCTCCTGAATGGAGCCAATCCCTAATGAATGCAAGTCACACTTCCAGCAGGAGTCTTTGCAGCCTTGGCTTGTATTTAAGCCACAACTGCAAAGAAACAACTGGGAGAGCACTTAGAAGTGTCAAATTACTTGATATCAGGCGTTTAGTGGAGAACCTGGCAGTTCCCACTGCCTTGAACTACAAGTTTTAAGTCAATCTTCACTAACCTGGTGCCATCCACCTGAAAGGCACCAGGTTGCCAAAGGCTGCTTTAATTGAACATCTGTTTTGAATCTATAGTTTAGAGAAAAGTTACTCTGTGATGGTTACAAGGCCTTGCAGAACAGAAGCAAATCAGTTATTTCTTAAATATATGTGAAACCAAATTTTCAAATATATATTAGACCGAGTCTGACCATGAATGCACAAGAATTAAAAGTTTATAAAGGCACTTTGTCAGCGTTCAGAGTAGGAAGGTAGTTGCCTGGTAATTAGGAAAGTTTACTGTTTCAGGATGCATCTTGGGTGTAGTAAGGTACACGATACATACTTGACAATTTAACGGTGGTACTCAAGTCACAATGTAAACGTGTTGTACATAAAAAGGAAAGGCTAACAAAAGGCAGCCAATATCCAAGGCCGAGGAAAAAATTACTTGCAGAACAGGAATAGGATTTCTGATACTATAAATCCAACTGCACTGCTGAGCAAATGAAAAACAGAAAGACATCCAGCTTAGAATGGAGCTGAGTCAAACTAGATAAACACACACATTAAATATAGCAGCCTTAAACTAGGTTTTATAGAACACAATGTTCCATTTTATTTGCAGGATCAATGTAAACAGGTTCTGGCGAGAATTCTGTCCTAAGAGTTTGGAAACTTACTAAGTGAATTATAGATTTGCAAGAGCGGAATGTGAGCTGTAATGCAGCTTTCTCTTGCAGCTACACTGGATCAGGGAATGTGCACCCCCACCATTGCGGAACAGAATGCCGGAATCAAAACAAGTTGTGACCAAGGTTATCCCTTCTGCCACTGGCAATCATTTAGATACTCAAAGCGCAATTGCAGGATTGTTGCCATGGCAAATACAAGTTTTACTGCAATTCCAAATTCTGTGACTGCCAGTAAAGAAACTTAGTTCTGGGATGTGTGTACAGATACAGTGTGCATGTGTGTGGAGTGGCCACAACAACGGCAGGCATGGAGGATTGGCCAAGGATCAACACATCCCTTGGACAGAAAAAGGCTTGCCATTCCTGATGCAGCACTTCCTACCAATACTTCTGGAATTCAGCCACCAAAGAGAGATCAAATTATCCCACTCACAGGGGCATATGAAGGAGCCTTTTCACTCTTAATGAAATAGCACGTGCAACTAATTTAAAATCTCAAACTTTCAGACTAGTGCAAAGCTGCAGATTCATGTTTTCCCCTCACATGCATGAAAAATTATCTGAGGTAAACAGCAGCTGACTTCCTCAGCTTCACTCAGGATTCTCCTGACAACACCAAAGTCTTCAATCCAGCCCAAAGCTTTGCACTATTTATGACTTGATCAAGTTAGCAGGTCTAAATAAGGAGACTCTTATCACCGCTGCATAGAATGTTAACGTTTTTGATGTTTGCTGAAAATGTATTCTCCCAAGCCTTTTCAAATTAGTCTATTTCTGCAGTTTTTATTCGTGATGCTTTTATGATTTAATGCTGTTTTATTATCTATATTATGTTTTATGTTCTATTACAATGCAGCAAAATAAATATAACCTAGTTTAAATAGAGTCAATTCAAATGAATGTAATTAGAAGGCAGTGGGTTGCATAAGTGTGAGTGGAAGACCACTTGCACAATGCAACTTCCTCTCCCCTGTATACCCTTCAAAATCTTCCCTATAGGGTCTACCAGTGGGGAGCTGCAGGAGAGAAGAGAGAAGGGGAAAGCTCTGTTTCATTAGTGGAACAGGACCACTTGATACCACTCAATGTTAATGCAACTGCACATTATTCTTACACGCTAGATGCTAGCACCAGCACCAGAACCAGAATTGCAGTTAAACTCTTTAACCTAAGTGACACAGGTTTCGGAAGACTTGATTCACGGCTCCTTCCCCTATCAGGGACTGCTCATCTTTCCTATCACAAACTGAAGAACCTGCATTCTAGGAAAAAAGCACGAACCATATTTTCTATTCCTCTAACCAAACTCAAGAGGTCACTGCTGGAAAGCTACTGTGAAACTTTAGTAACCTACACAACAGAGATGCAAAGTTCAGTACAGTACTCCATGAAGCTTTTGTTCCCCAGATGCCAGGCTGTTAACCCAAGACATGTGTTCAGACAATGACAAATTTGCTTACTAACACCTCTTGGTGCTATGTAGACCACTGGTTTGAAGACTAGCTTTATTAAGACTGAATGAGAGAATTTTTAATGGTTCCAGTTCGGCTTTGTGAGGGGCAGGTTGAGCTTCAAACAGTTAAGATGAACCACAGAAAGGCTTGCAATGAAGAGGCTAGGGGTTTATACCACCAGTTCCGTGGAGCAAATTGCCTCTTCTCTACAAGAAGGGTAATTCTGACTGATCATCAGGAAGAACTTTCTGACAGTTAAGAGCTCTTTGACAGTGGAACCGTCTCCCTCGGCTGTGGACTCTCCTTCACTGGTGGTTTTTAAGCAGAGGTTGGATGCCCATCTGTCATGGATGCTTTAGCTGAGATTCCTACATTGTAGGGGGTTGGATTGGATGATCACTAGGGTCCCTTTCAACTCTACGATTCTATGATTCTACATGTGTCTGCATGTCGTGGAAGCGGGAGATGTCTTTGGGAAGGAACAACAACAATCAGTTCACACACAGGGAGGGAAAGGCTTTAATAAGTTTTACAGAAGGTGGTGTTTTCATTTTTATCTTCTTTCTTTTTAAATTGTGGGGGACGGGGACGAGTGACAGTTTCCAGCTGGCGGGCTGGACGCCTAGGTCCCCATAGCTCTGTGTGACATTCTGAAAGGCGGGATGGGTGAAGTGCTTTATTTTGCTTGTGTTGTTTGAAATCAAACTGCACAGGTCAAGGCACAGTGCTTTGTAGGTGTGGATGCCTCCACTGAACGCCAGTGCTTGTGAAGCCCTGTGCCTTTACAGGGGCAAATGTGATTATCATCGATGCTTGTACGGGAACATGGTTTTGCAATCAGCACCAGCTAGCTGAACTGACAGTGCCTGAAAACTCCACTTTTGGCAGGGAGCTGAATCTTTTTACCTGCAACAGGGGTGTAGAAGGTAGGTGTGGCTTGGTCAAAATGGCTTCACAGGACAAAGAGGGAGGCCTACTGGGCTTATTAGGCTCACACGCTGGAGTACCTGACTGCTACTTTATACCACAAACTGTTTCACGTGACAATTGCCCATGAATGTGACCAAATTACGGGGACACTCTGAAACGGATAGTTAAACGAGTATTGCCAACCAATACACCCCATCAAATGCACACCTGAAATAAAGCAGTGTAATTTTCCCCCACCGCTGTCACAACATGCAATGTACCATTATCCATCAATGAACTTCCAAGAACCTCAAGTCTCTTTCTGAATGGTCATCTGTGGATAAAAGCCATAGTGTGCCAAATCAAAATATTCCAGGAACATTTGTGCACAGATTAAAATTCTAATGTGATGGCTTTTTGGTTTTAGCAAAAGAAAAGCCATACACGTTTTACATACGTTCAAATGTTTTTCCAGGAGTAATTCTGGGAACGATACGGCACATGTGTACATGGCAGGCTGCTCCTCCACACATCAGTCCCCCAAAGCAATGATAACCTCAACTAGTGCTTATAATACTTCAGACACCAGGAAACCTGAGTCGATAACATAGTAACAATCTGGCTTCTAGTTATTTTATTTTCAAACATGGGCAAACACCTTTTTACACCAATACGCCACTTACCCGGACAAGAGCATCATCTATGATGTGATCCCGTCTCACTTTGAGTCGCAAATACGGATTTAACTGCTGTCCTTGAACTAAACTGTAGAGTACGGTGATGCGCCTTTCACTGTACATACGGATTCTGTTGTCATAATACAATCCCAGGTTTTTCGTAACAGCATTCAATATAAAGGGGCACGTCATAAAGGAGAATTTGTTTTCCGTTTCTACCTTGAAGAAGGTGTAATCTTTGTCCATTTCTAGAACGTCATTCAGTGGCTCATTGATAAACTCTTCAAAGGGGATAAGTGGTTTTCGGCAATCTATAGTTTTTACACCAAGTTCCGTTTCCAGTGGGTCTACTCGGGGTCCTTTTTTATTTCTTCTCTCCTCGCCCAGCAGTTCCTGAAGCGTTAGCTCGCTGGATTCTGGGATTGGCTCTTCGTCTTCCTCCTCGTTATGATCCGTGTCCACATCCCCTCCCACTACATTTGCATAGTAAACCATTTTTAAGCACTTTGAAGCAGCGACAATGGCATCGTCGTCATTCACTAAGTTGCGACTGTTGAACTCGTTGCTTATGACCTTGTAGGTTATAAGCTGCTGAAACGTTTCCATCATCCGTCGGATCTGGTCTGCGCTATACTTTGACCACAATCTGACCAGCTTCGCTTGAGCTGCCAGGGGTAGCTTACTCATTGCTTTGCAAAACAATGGCAGTGCCATTTCCAGGTACTCAGGACTGTGAAGATTACCATTTTCCATAACGATAATAAACAAGTTGAGATAGTTAGGATCTCGAGAGTACACATTATGGTAAGTCAAGTCACATTCCACATTGGGCGACAAGTACACAAGTGCATTTAAAAAGGCAGATTCTATTTTTTCATTAGAAAGCAATCTACTGTAGACCCGTCTGACTGCATCAATGTCTACAGACACTTCTTCTGGGCCTAATTTTTGTAGGTTGTTATCCCCCTGCGCAGCATCGCCTGTTCTCGATGATGATGATGATGGTGCAACCGAATCTTCTTCCATGGCAGAAGAACAGGCAGCTTTTTCCTTTTCATCTTCATCCTTATCTTCATCCTTTCCTTGAAGAGATTTCAGTTCTTCCTTAGTATGCTGCTTGGCTTTTCGAAAGCTCTGTACCAAAGCTTCAGCGCTAGAAAATACTCTCCCAATGACACGGATTAAAGGTGAATAGTCCTCTTTTTCTCTACATAGCTCAAGGATTTCATAGACTTTGTCTTCTGTTAAGAATGTCACATCTACAATGTTAAACACAAAGCAGAAAACCTCTGTTGAACTTAGGTTAAACTTAGGTTAAACTGTTGAACTTAGGTTAAAATCTATGTATTAAGCAGAAGTATGTATTAAGCAGAGACCCACTATTTACCAACTTCAGCAGGCATACAACAACTTTGGCACTTTATTATGACTAAAGAAGATTGAATTAGAAACTAGGACTGTGTTCAGTGTCACGATAAACCATCCCCCTGGTCTCACAGCTCCCCACTCTGCTCTGGCACAGCTGTAAAGGGGGTGCTGCAAAGTTTTCACTTTTGATTTCAATTAACCAGGTTAACACCATGTCAGAATTCAAAATGGTGGTTAATCTTAACCATGGTTTGTTGAAACAAGCCACCTTATTGTATTTTATTTATTCAAATATTTATAGCCTGCCCTATACTGCTTGATCTCAGGGCAGTGTAAGTAATTCATTTAAAACAAGGATTCATCAAATAAAAATAAGGTACGTAAAATAAACCAACAGCACATCTTAAAACACAAAATGGAACACAGTATAAAGCAACAGATATGCCCAACTGAATAATCGGTTATTAATCAAGCAACAAAGCAAGGTGCCTGTTTCTGAAAGGAGGGTTTTCCATCACTGGGCACCAGCAAAGAAATGACCCTCTTCCCCATCTCCACGTAATGTACAGCCTCTAAAACTGGGAGGCAAAGGAAAGCCTCACTGGCTAAACGGACAGGTTAGTATAGAGAGATGCTCCTTCAAGTGCCTAGGTCTCCACTTGTTTAAGACTTACCGCTAACACCTTGAAACTGGACCTGAAGCAGATTGGCAGCCAGTGTTAAAGGTAATGCCTTACCTTTAAAGTCATCTCTTGGGCCTTGCATTTCTTTTTTGTTCATTTTTCTGTCAGTGCAGGAGTTGTTGTGGGCACCTTTGGAATTGTTTTCTAGGTAAGCTGAGCTTGTTCCTTTCTTGGAGGGATGAGGATCACAGAGTTTTGCATTAATCTTATAAAGCTCGAGGGCTTTAATGGCTGCTGCATTGTTATCCATACGGAGGAAAGTTGGACAGGAAGCACAAAATTCATTCGTGCAGGCTTCATTTCCACAGCCCTCAGTTAACTGATGGTAGTAGCGTTCTATTAGATGCTTTGCAGCTGCTCGCTTCCTGTACCAAACATCCAAACAGTAAGCACAAGGATTAGTATGGCTTTCATATACAAGCTCATTCAAATGGTCGGCAAAGCACAGATTAGTGAGGCTCTGAAGTAATCTCTCTCAATTTAAGAGATATTGCACATCAAGAGATCCTGAAATGCAAGATGCACCTGCTAAATAATAATAATAATAATAGTAATAGGTCTGATGCACAGTATAGTTTGTGAATGTGTAAACTTGTCTGCTGCTTCTTTAAAAAATGTAGATTATTGAAGTCTGGGGCAAAGACCCTCCCCAAGCTCAGCATTTCAATGTGATTACTTTCAACTGGAAAGATTTAAGTAACAGAACTTTCAAAAGTACTTAATTAGGACAGGGTTATGGTCAATACTTGTCAGTTTGGTTCCAACAAATCATTCAGTTACAATAATTACTAAGCTCCTCATATACATATATGCACTCCTTCTCATTACAGTGGACGCTCGGGTTGTGCATGTGATCCGTGCAGGAAGCTCGTCTGCAACCCGCAGCGCCGCATCTGCGCACGACCGGGTTGCGATTCGGCGCTTCTGCACATGCGCAAAGCGCGATTTATCACTTCTGCGCATGCGCCGAAACCTGGAAGTAACCAGTTCTGGTACTTCCGGGTTCGGCGCGGTGCACAACCCGAAATCATGCAACCCAAATCGTCTGTAACCCGAGGTATGACTGTATATTGAAATCCACAATAATGTAGAAATTTAGTACAGTAAGTGTATGACTAGAACCTGGCTTCTCCAAATGATATGGACTATGAGTCTCATCATCTCTCATTACTGGCGATGCTGCTGGGGCTTCCATGCTTCATATGCAAATATGTCTGTCTGCATTGTAATTCCATGCTGCCATACTATACTAAAACATTTTCCCCCCTAGTTGTCAGTTTTTAACAGGGATATATAATTGTCAAGCCAAGTTCAAAACAAGGTTTAAGATCCTGGCTTGCTCTTAAGCTGGTGACCATAGTTTCCTGCTTTGGATAAAACAGGGAACAGTGGTTAATTAGAGACTTAATGATGAGAACTGATGATTAAAGAACTCAATGATGAGTTTTCAATAGCTGATCTCTTAATGCTTCAGTTTTGCTGGGTAGTACACAGAGCAGAAATGCTCAATATTTCTGCTAGTCTGAGCAAAAACTTGAAGTTATGTCTCAAATAAAATTGTTAAAATATTATTGGGATCATTCCAATTCACCATCGAAGTCAAGACTACAGGAGTTGTAAATCTCTTACATAAAACACGTCTGAATAAATTATTTAATGAAAACTGATGTCTCAAAATATAGTGCTCACTAGGCTAAGAATATATAAGTGAACTCCAAAACACAAACTCTCCATTTTATTTGGAATTATTTTAATTCCAAATAAAACCTTCCAGAAGTACCCCATGCAGATCTTTATGATATGGACCTTGTAACAAGACTTTGCATGCAAAGGACATTCCAAGGAGAGAATATTATTTGATATTAGCCATGCTGTAAGTATTTACAGTTTAAAACAAATAAAAAATAAAATAAAAAACAACCTTTAAGTGTATGAATCCTCACAAAATTCATGAAGTAATTTTTTCCTAGAGGAATTGGGGGTTTGTGTTCTAAGAAATACTAGCCTAAGCCCCTGTTTCAAATGATGGCTACTATACAGATTTATTTTAACAATTTCATACAAACAAGGAAATAAACTAAGTAAAATAGAATGTGTAATTACGTACAGATATTCTTGAGATGATTTATATCCCACACATCTATTGCAACTGGAATACTCAGCACAATTATCATTACTGCACAATTACATTATGGCTGTTTGCTTCTGAGTAGTTTTCACTGGGACAGTTATGATCTTGAAAACCCTAAAGGGCCTGGGACTAATTATCTGAAAGACTGCCCAATCTTGTTTGAATCTACCTATATATTGAGCTATTCTACTGATTGTTCCCATCATGAGAGCAGGTGGCTAACTGTGGATAGGGCCTCTTCCACTGTGGCCCACAACTTTTGGAATCTTGCTCCATGGTACACCAATGAGGTGCTGAGTTGTAACTTTTTAGGTGCCAAGCAAAACAATAATTTTGTCTCCAGCTTTTGGTGGCACATGACGAAAACTTATTTTGATGGTTTTGTTTGTGGTTGCTGGGTCTGCTTCTTGGTTTTTTATAAATATCTTGTTTTAATGTAAAAGGAACAGACGCTACTCTATATACTGGAAGAACCGTTTTCGGAAGACAGCAAAGGAAACAAATACGTTGTCAAATTGTATGGGAATGCACGCACTGGCAATTAAATACAATATACTATGGGCCTGACAATTCTTTTACTAACAACAGTATTCTTAGGTTTGGCAAGTATTTTATTATCATTTTTCAAATGCATAAATTGGGAATTACTGAAATTTAACTAATCAACCAGTGTTAGACAGAGTTAAGTGTCACAATCACCATGAGTTTACTTACATACTAATACTAAACCATGGTTTAGTGCTGCGTCAACGAGCCCAAAGCAAAGCCTTGGACTCATACGTATCTCATGCAGTCAGGAGAATGACTTTGCCAGCACTTTCTTTCCATTTCCACAGTCCTACCTTGTTGTTATGTGAGAATCAGAGATTGTGGTTTAAATGAACTTTGGTCAGTTATAGAGCAAGCCACCTTCAAATCATGGATTATGAAACTGGCTTGTCTAACTGATTAGTTATAATCCTGGATCTCTGGTTCATACACAAGCCGGAATTCGAAGTAACAAAGTAAACACTAGTGAAGTCCTTCTAGCTGTGAGGGAGGAGAGAGGAGTATGCAAACTTGTAGCCTCACTTGGGATCTTTCCCGCTTCTGTACATACATAACCATGGTTTAGTGTTACATGCAAACCAGCTTTGGTACTCCCTCTAGCTCTGAACGTCACAGTTAACAAAAAGTAAGATTCTCAGAGGAAGCTGGTTAAAAATGCCTGATATTTTGACTCATTTCTCCTTGGTCCTCTTTCTAACCAAGTTACACATCAACAATATTTGTCATCAGTTGTTTCCACCCTATCAAATCTGTTAGAGCAGGAAGAGGGTTAATTGCTTTCTTCTTTTAAGTATTATCTAGACTAATGAATGGATTTTGCCTACTTACAAACAGTTTAACTCCATATTAGCAGTTAGTTGAGCCGTTGGCAAATAAAAGAATCTGAGTTAAATTATTTTGATCTAATAAATAAAATGGAATTAAATTGCAGCTGTAGCTTCAAAATTTAGATTATTTCAAGTTACAATAATATGAAAAGCACAAGTATAATGAAGCAAATTATTTACAGTTATTAATACTAGTATGACAATGTATAGCCTGCCTTTCAACCCAAAGATTTCCAATGTGGTCCATTACAAAACATAAAATATATAAATCACCACAAAAAGCCACACAGAATATAAACCAGGTATCATAAACCAGAAACACTGAAATAACAAGAAGCAGAAATTACAAAGTCTGGTAGTTAGACCAGTACCTTTTCTACTCATGAGCCTGACCTAGTATTTTCTGTATCACTAAACAATTGGACACTGCTTAATTTTAGTTGTAGATAATAAAAGTTGAAGAAGCCTCTGGTTGTGATCCAGAGCAGTCATGTATATTCCCATACAGAATGAGCACATGGTGGGTGATGTGACATTTTTCACTAGCACAGTTTACCTGCCAAGGCAGTGAGCTGTAATTCACCTTTAGGAGCAGCTTGCGTTATTGGCTCTAGGAACTGTCATAGCAAAAACATCAAAGAGATCTATGGATTGGATCCTTGCCAAGTTAGCTGCACTTAGATTCCACTGAAATCAGTGGCAAAAGTCAAGTCATGACTAATGTGATTTCCCATTGATTTCAACATACCTAATCTAGGCAAATGCTCGTGTTCTCAATGTACCTAATCTGGGCAAACCATCATGTTGAAGAAGTGAACAATGAATAATTTTTCTCAAGTACAACTTAAAGGTAGCTGTTGAAGAATGGAGGTAATGCAACTCTGATATTGCATCTGGGTTTCACACAAAAGACAGTGGTACCTCAGGTTACATACGCTTCAGGTTACAGACTCCGCTAACCCAGAAATAGTGCTTCAGGTTAAGAACTTTGCTTCAGGATGAGAACAGAAATCGTGCTCCAGTGGCGCAGCAGCAGCAGGAGGCCCCATTAGCTAAAGTGGTGCTTCAGGTTAAGAACAGTTTCAGGTTAAGTACTGACCTCCGGAACGAATTAAGTACTTAACCCGAGGTACCACTGTATACCAAATGCACTCTTTTGATATGCTAGTTATACTTACATTCGGCTAGCTTCAATATTTTCAGAGTGAGGTTCTCCTGGTGATCTGTAAAGGTTTAAATAAAAACGTGAGTATTTTGTATGCAGCTAAGAGGAAAAGTGATACAACTAGCATATTATGTGATTCATTAATACCAATAACATATTCTCTTAGAAGTCAGTCCTACTGATTTCAAATGAAAGTTACCTATAGGTTAAGGCTGCTTACAACGATACAAGCACAGATATAAGCTGCTCATCATACACTCACGGTTGTCTACTTTTGCAATTATCAACTTTTACATATTGTACACCTCTTTTACATAGTACTTTCTATTCTCACATCAAATGCTTCATAAAAACCACTGTTTACAATACTTCCGCATTTTTAGCTGTCCCAATAATTTGTCACTTTCTTATTATCATTATTTTGCCAGTACCAGCTCAGCTGAGCTATATTAATCCTTGTGCTATATTAAAAAGTGGCCTTGGTATGTTTCGAGATTCCAACAAGCCTATGTTTCTAAGCTTTCCAGAAGCTCAGCTGACAGTGTTTTATTATTAGTAAGTATAAAGCAGCTTTTTATGTTGTTCAGATATCTAAAGTTCTGCGCTAGTTAAAACTTTATTCTACAACAGTGCTGGTTTTCTACAAGGACACAGCCCTTTCTGTGATGATTCTGCATTTGTAGAATACCCTCCCCAGGAAGATATTTTTACCTCTTCTTTATTCTAGCCAGCATTTGAAAAAAATTATGGCACTGTTTTTTAAGATTTGTTTTATCTGCTATCTTTTAAATGTCATTTTATTGTTTGCTTTTCAAAAAAAGAAATATTATGGAATTTCAGTCTATCAGTGTTGTTACATGATGCTGAAAACTGCCTTGTAGAGGACAGATTCTCTGAAAGGTAGGTTAACAGCCATTAAATAAATACAGTGTAGAATGTATTTGTTTATTTGAACAAAAGCGTTTTAAAATTAAACATAACATGCTTAAGAAGTTATCATTATTTAGCTCACCCTTGCCAAAACCAAAAGGTTTGCTTTTGTTTAATAAATTTTGTTACAAGTGCTTAGTTTTCAGCCCCGAACAGCACTGCAGAAAGCATGATCGCAACACACCCACCCACTAATCTGAACACTGCAGCGTGAGCTAGCAATTTTATATGGTGGCTCAATTCCAATGCCACTCAAAGGAACTTCTCCATTCTGCAAGAAGTTGCCTCCACTGTAACTCCTAGGATAGAAAAAGCAAAGGCATGCAAGTCTGCTGCACTTGGCAATTTCACCAAGTTTCTGGAACAAAATCATTGCTTTAGCCAAATTGAGCACCCATTGTCAGCAAGATATCATGAAGATCTCTCCCCAAATCTGTGCATTCTTTCATTTTCTTCTAAGGTCGGACTGTGGTGGACTGCTTCTGGCAATTACTGAACCAGAGACAGCCTCCCCTATATAACAACTCGGGGGACGGGGACGGGGACGACACACAACATTTTATAGAATATTAACACTGATAGTCAGAGCAAGGGATAGACACTTCAAAAGTATTTGGCTCAATGGAGTCCTCCTAAAGACTGCTTGCTAATTAAGCTGTTATGGAAGCATAAAAAGCATTATTTGCATTTGAAACACCATTAAAAAAAAAAGTTCATGACATTTACCTTTTACAAGCTGTGGCCATTCGGTGACATTGGGGTGATCACAATTTTGTGTTGTTGATTAAAAACAGGTTGTCGCTGGTCCTCTTGTGCTGGGCCAAGCATAGGCTTAATAGTGCTAAATGAATAAAGTGATGCTTAGTTAAACATCCTCAAGTTCATGTTTCAAACTAGGCAATTAAACGAACAATTGTGATCATTAGCCAACACACACACTGTGTTGCAAGAAATCTTAACACAAATATATGTAATAATTCTGCTGCCAAAACTAAGTTCCAGCCTTTACAAATCAACTTTTGAATTTGTCTAGATTTAATGCAAGACATTTCCCAGAGTCCAGTCGTAGTTGGGCAGTTCATTAAAGTCAGGCTATTGAAACGAAATCCATGAAAGACAGAAATGATGATGGCCAGAAAACCTTGTGGAATGGAGAAAATATTTTTACTTCCACTACTGGTAGTGTTTAGCCATGAACTTTCACTCAGGCTTATAGTCATGCCTGGAGCAATGCACTGCAACTGTGGCTAGAAGAGCTTTCTACCAATTCCACTACCCTGCATTACTTTAGAAAGAACCATCCTTAATGATGGCTCAAAATATTAAGCTGGTTTAAGGTTAATTCTGCTTTCTGATGTAGGTCATAAGAAAACATGTTACAATAAAGATCTAGAGATTGCATTTGTTCCCTGTTGACCTCCAGGATCAATTCAAGGTGTGGTTCATGATAAAAAAAGATATACAATAGGATATGCCCCAATATACCCCGAGGCCATCTCCAGCCTTGTGCATTACTATGAAATTTTAAGAGTGTCCTCTTTCATTATTCATGTGTCAACTTAGGAATGTAAGGAAGTGTACAGAGGTGGCTAACCTGTAATTACAGGTTACAGGTTTGCCTTTGAGACTCACTAAGACAAATCCATACATTTCCTAGAAGTGCATATTATCTTTTATATAGGTTGGCCTTTGATGGCCCAGGATAGAATGGCCGGAAGGTCTATTTCAATATTGGTAAAGGCTGTATTTCTGGCATCACCCACTTCAGCCTAAGAGATGAGGCCACTATACAACACATTTCTTTGTAAAACTTAATACGGACACCAGTCACAATTTTATTACAATTAATTAGTAATTCTACCACAGGGTACTTCACCACTAGATTCAGCTTTAGTGGCCACCAAAACTTGAAAGAAAAAAATACAGCCTATTACATCCATGGCTCTTTATATACAAGAACCTCTCACCCCTTCTCAGACCTGTTTTTGCAGACATCACGAGGCAGCTAGGGGGTAGAATGCTGACCCACTCCTTTCTAATTACAGCAAGAACAGCTGTATGGACCCTGTCCCCCCATGACATGGGGTGATTAATGAGTAACTGCCTATTTTTTAGAATGTACTTTTGAATCCCAGTAGTCCTCTCACAGGAAACACCAATCACACCAATGTCCTAGTCTCTCAGGACCACTTCAGACGTCACATTTTTAAGTGTATACGTCAAGCATCTTAGATGTATGCCTAAGAAAATGTGAATTATGAGTGCAACAAACACGTGCTTGCAAATGTATGTATCAAGAGACCTGAGACTGGCTGAACTTTCCTGCTGAGTGTTTACTTGGTGGAAACGTGGGGTTTAATTCCATGAGATTTGCAGTGGCCTTCGGACGGCTTCTGTTGACCTTGACAAGGTTTAACAGCCACTGTTCTAAAAATTTCCCACAATGCAAATTAATGAAAAACACAGGATGAAAATAATGCAGTTTACAATGGTCGGACTCTTCTTTTCAGCAACCCATTTGTAGTGGACATTTCCATTTCAAAATTTTACCTGTCAACTGTCTCCTGTGATCTGGCTTCTCTGGTATAAGATGTAAGGCTGATCTTCTACTCTGTCATGACGCTGTCAGCCAGTGATTATTCAGCAACACTCGTACCCACAGCACCCCGAGGCCACCCACTGGCTTTTTGCTCTCCAGCTGAAGACTTCCATTGCTGAAACGGAACCAATTAATGTCTTACCTAATTCTATAATCTGATCTTATCTGTTCTTATGTACAAAATTTTAAACCCTTAACCTGAAAAAAAAAAATCACTAAATTTTCTGAACTCACTCTTTCCAAATCTGACTATAAAGCATTTGGCAAATAAGAATATTCTGAAGTATGAGTGATATCCAAATGTGGTGTCCTGCTTGCACAACAGACATCTTCTTGTGTAAACTGGACTTAAGACTCTCTTTCTTTTCCCCAGCAGTCTCCCATTTGCTTTATAGGGATTGCAGGAATGGGGAGGAGAGGACTAGGAAATTCTGTTGCATCTACTGGTGCAGCACTGGATCTCTCCCTATAAACATTTTTTTGCAGAAATCTGAAGCACTGTCTGCACCCAGGTTTAGGATAGCCATGCACATCAGAACCCCGTTTACAGAGAGGAGCAGATGGATAGAGAGCAGTGTTTCCCTAGGTAGCAAGACCAGGATGATGGGAACTGTAGTCCGAAAACAGCTGGAGACCCAAGTTTGGGAGACACTGTCTTAGAGGTAGTGTAAAATGGAGGATAGACAAAACACTTAAAATTGCCATCCAATTCCCAGCTCGGGTGAAGCTGGCAATGTCCCGTGGCTGAAACCCTAGAAAGCTGCTGCCAGTCAGTGAAGATAGTACTAAGCTAGATGGGCTAAGGGTGTGACTCAGTATAAGGCAGCTTCCTATGCTCCTAATCGATAAAGCAATACTGTCCCTGTTATGGAGGACATTTTGCCATAGTGCGGGTGGCGCTGTGGGTTAAACCACAGAGCCTAGGACTTGCTCATCAGAAGGTCGGTGGTTCGAATCCCCGTGACGGGGTGAGCTCCCATTGCTCCCGCCAACCTAGCAGTTCGAAAGCACATCAAAGTGCAAGTAGATAAATAGGTACCGCTCCGGCGGGAAGGTAAACGGTGTATCAGTGCGCTGCTCTGGTTCGCCAGAAGCAGCTTAGTCATGCTGGCCACATGACCCAGAAGCTGTATGCCGGCTCCCTCGGCCAATAAAGCGAGATGAGCACTGCAACCCCAGAGTCGGCCACGACTGGACCTAATGCTCAGGGGTCCCTTTACCTTTACTTTACTTTTGGTTGTAGTCTAAAAACAGCTGGAGACCCAAGTTCGGGAAACCCTGTACTAGTGTTGAGTGGCTGAGCTGACCTAGTCCCGGAACATATTTATTCTTTGCCTATAGTATCCTAGAATAGAAACACTTCTGTTTATTTCTTCATAACTATTACCAATTTGCAATCCCTGTTAAGTGACTGCTCTCTATGTATAAAATGTGATGCCTTTGGGGCCCAATGAAATATACTAATGAAACTTAAAACTGCCAGAATCCCTTGGCCAAAGGCCAAATTTCATCATCTCTTATTTTATTCTACAGAAGAACACATTTTCCAAGAGGTGAATTTATGCTTGAGAACATGGTGCTCACATGAGCCTTGTGCCCTATATTCTATCATCTGGATACAGCTGGCCCTATTGTTATACGAGTTTCAGCTCTCCAATTACATAACACAAAAAGTCAACTAGGGACCTAAAATAAGAGGCATGCAACACACACCTCCAAATCTCAAGCTGAGTGTTCAGAATGAAATTGTGCAAGGAATGAATGCATGGTCAATAGTGATCAACCCTGCCCATCTTATTAAAGTTGGGATCAACTTTCTGGACAGCAAAGCAGGTGGGCTGACCCAGAGATGCTGTGAGTGCAAGTGCAGCTGAGCAGTCACTGGCTGCCACCCGAGGTTCCAATCTCAGAAATCACCCAAGAACTGACAGATTATGCATGTGAAAGCAGCGTAACAGACAAAGAACAGTTTAAAAGTAAATTCAGCTAGAAGTCAGCTTTCATAATCAGCGTCATTCCAACGTAATTTTCCTTTCACATAATAGCTGATATTGGGCGCAAAGTACAATTTTCACAGTTAAGACCACCAGTAATTTACTGTCTGCAAACAGCATTCGCTTGCAAAGGCTGCCTATTCATTTCGGTTGGGAGTGGGCTGGAAGGGGCACCTACAGGCTTTCAATATGGAGAATGCAACCCTGTAAAGAAGATATAACTGTCTTGCTCTCTACTTAGGTGTCTTATCTTATTTCTCTTGTTCACAAACTAGTGCACAAAGGAAATAATTTGGTAAGACTTCACGATTCCTACTATACCAAATTAAAAGCTGCTGTTGTACTGGATATTTTAAAACCCCACCAACAGCAAGCAGCATGTCTGAATTTCAGCATGTATTTCATCATGCAACAATAAAATCAGAGTGCAGTTAAAACTAGCTTGCTTTGTGGTTTTCCTGTGCTCCTTCTCCACCTGAAACCAGACTAAAACCATATTTTTTGCTCTATAAGACTCACTTTTTCCCTCCTAAAAAGTAAGGGGAAATGTGTGTGCGTCTTATGGAGCGAATGCAGGCTGCACAGCTATCCCAGAAGCCAGAACAGCAAGAGGGATTGCTGCTTTCACTGCGCAGCAATCCCTCTTGCTGTTCTGGCTTCTGAGATTCAGAATTTTTTTTTCTTCTTGTTTTCCTCCTCCAAAAACTAGGTGCGTCTTGTGGTCTGGTGCGTCTTATAGAGCGAAAAATACGGTAATATAAGATGTTAAAATAAAGTGAATTAGGACTGTTTCCAGGAACGTGGTAGCAACATGAGATTTTTGACATTTAGCCAATTGACAAAAAGGTGATACTGGAACAGAATAATACCAGATGAGCCGTCAAAAGTGTTCACACTTACAAAAGTTATGCCATTCATTTTGCATACTAAAAGTTCATTCAGCAGTTAAGGTAAGACAAAAGCTGATCCCATTTATATTCTGTCCACAAGCAACTAGCATACAGTAGACAAATTATTCTTGGTTTGTGGAGAAACTTGCAGGCTACATCATTCATATGGTTAGCCTGCTAATTAACGGAAACGGCAAATTTTCAAAAGACCATAGCACATGATATGGCAATCAAGTACTCAAATATTCAGCGCTTTATAATACCTTCATAAATATTGTTTTCTTTCATAAATTTGTTCTCCGTAAGGCAGTTTTATTAAGAGAAATTATTTCTGCTGATAAAAACACAATATCTAAGATACAACTATTCTACATACCATGTTCTTCCAGTACTTCAGCAGGTTGCTCTTGCACGTTGCCAAAAGGCCTTCAATTGGCTGCGGACCTAGAATACAATATCTTACTTCAGTTTTTTTAATCAGTTATATAAAGATTAAGATCGTCTAATGCATAAAATCTACATGATGCTCTTTTTGAAGTTCGTTTGTGCTGTACTATTTACTGCACTCAGGATGAATAAAAATGATTGTAAAAAAACCCACACATCTAAAAAAAAATATGAATTGGATTTTTACTCTTGTAAATGGTTTTTAAGTACTGAAAGTTTCTTATTTTCTAAAAACAGCCCGCTTAAAATTAAATGTAGATCCAAGAATGTTACGCCGGTGTTTATAATTTCTTGAAACAAGAAAAATGGTCACGTCATGAACACTGGCCTGGTTCACATGTCACATTAAAACATAGACAAAATGACCTGGTTTCCTGTGAAGAACCGGCATGCTTCTGTTCATGGTTTGTTTGAACAGAAACAAACCATGAGCTCAGATTCGGATGATACAACAAGTCAGACCATGCTTTGTTTCCTGACAGTAACAGGAGTGGGAGAGAAGGAAACTGCCTGCAATTTCAGCAGCTTGTACCAGCATGCTGCTTGTTCACATTAAACCATAGCTTAAAGTAACTACAACAAAGGGTTATAGCTCAGTGGTTGCAGAGCACATGCTTTGCATTCAAAAGATTCCAGGTTCAATCCCAGTATCTCTTGGTATGGCTGTGAGAGATCCCTCTCTGAAACCTTGCAGAGCCAGGAGACTATACTGAGTCAGATGGACCAATGATCTGACTCTAATTCATAGCCAAGTTCTTTTGTATGAAATAAAGGTGAACAATGTTTTATAAAACTTGTCTGATTTTGAGGTTGAGTTTTCTTTTTGATTATGTTTGTTATGCAAATGACAAATGAGACCTTGTTAAAAGAGAAAATACTATCTTCTTCCTCACTAGATCATCAAGTACAGTGGTACCTCAGGTTACTTACGCTTCAGGTTACATATGCTTCAGGTTACAGACTCCGCTAACCCAGAAATATTACCTCGGGTTAAGTACTTTGCTTCAGGATGAGAACAGAAATCGTTTTCCAGCAGCACGGCAGCAGCAGGAGGCCCCATTAGCTAAAGTGGTCTTCTGGTTAAGAACAGTTTCAGGTTAAGTATGGACCTCCGGAACGAATTAAGTACAGTGGTGCCCCGCAAGACGAATGCCTCGCAAGACGAAAAACTCGCTAGACGAAAGAGTTTTCCGTTTTTTGAGTCGTTCCGCAAGATGAATTTCCCTACGAGCTTGCTTCGCAAGACGAAATGTCTTGCGAGTTCTTGCGAGTTTGTTTCCTTTTTCTTAAAGCCGTTAATAGCTGCTAAGCCGTTAATAGCCGCTAATAGCCGTGCTCCGCAAGACAAAGAGACTCGCGGAACGGATTAATTTCGTCTTGCGAGGCACCACTGTACTTAACCTGAGGTACCACTGTATACCTAACTGAGTGAACTTGCATTTTCCTATTTTTAAAGCTCTGTATCTGAACACTGCGATTTTGCTCAGATCTCATTATGAACATTTATAAACAAGTGCACAATACCGGCTAGGGCATCTCTGTGGCCTACCGGGAGGGAGGTTGGAGCTGTACAGATGCATGAGCAGGAATGCTGGATTGGCTCTGCTGGTGTATCTGTGCAGCCCCAGGCTCACCAATGCCTTCCTCAGTCCAGCCTAGATGTTGGGAGAGGGGCTCTGCCACACCACACTGGTCACTGCTGGAAGTACATTTCCTTTTAGAAAAATAAATTGCTCTGCCCTAACCAACACCAGCTTCTGGGAAGTTTGGAGGGCTTAGCTTTTTAAACAAAGGCCACATTCTCATGTCACACTAAACTAAGGCTCGCCACAATATGCATGAATAGGAATAACCCCGTGTATGTTTCAAATCACGTGGTTCTTCCACGCTCCCTTGTGTAACCAGAACAACTTCAGAGGCATTTACTTTCACTTTCCATTAAACTCAACTTGTCATTCTGGTTGAACCCAGGATTGTGGTTTAACACCAACCATGGTCAGTTTCAAAGTAAGCCAATTTCAAACCATCAGTTATTAAGTCAGCTTATATAGAAAATGACCACAGTTAGTGATAAAATATGGTCCCAGGTTCAGACAAAATGACAAGCACAGCTTAAGAGGAAATGAAAGTAAAAGCTTCTCCTTCCAGATGCATGAGAGGACAGGACACGAACATCTAAGGATTGGTTGGGCTTGCTTTAGTTTTTGCATTTCGTGGTTTAGCCTGGTGTGCAAATGTGGCCAAAGACATATGGGCCAAAATGTCCATATTTATTTAGAAAATGTATATCACAGGCTTCATCACAAGACCCCAGGGAAAATTACAATTCTAAAAAGAGTGAGCACAAGTTTGGGGTTGTTCGCTGCTTTATGTTTCTGGGGTTAACAAGGCAATAGAGTTAGGCAATATAGAGAAGGAGTGGAAGTAAAACAGAAAGAAGCCACCTGGATACAAAGTCTAACCTTCCATATAGTGCTCTATTCATTTACAGCAAATATAACTAAGCAACTACATTAGCCAATTAGTATACAGCACAGTTTAGGAAAAATATTGTCAATGAGGGATTAGATTTAACTCTTCAATGACCCCACTGCAACCCTGAAGTATTATACCTGAAAGCTATCTGGAAGAATAAGTTGCAGTTTTACAAACTTTAGAAATAAAGCGTAAGAGTAATGAAATTCACACAGGAGGAAACCCAGCAAGTTGATCACTCAGGAACAAAAAACTCTAAAATGCCTGGGCAAATAGGCATGTTTTGACTTGTTATTAGCACCAGTCACATGTCTAAGGGAAGGACATCCCACAAACAGGGTACTACCATGTCACCACCTAGGAGATTTCTCCTGGTGGTAAGCAGAAGAGAAGGGAGAGTAATAGGCAAATTGTTCAGTTTAGAATTAAATTGATTATAGACATCTGAGGACAGGCCAGAGAGATTTTGGATCTTGTCCGTTTTCACACACTAACAAAACATCCTTGTAGAATTCTATCCATGACATTTTATCTGCACAATTAGAATGAATTTCAGGAACCAAAAAGTCGTATTGAAAAATACAACTTCTGAGTTGGCTGGCCCCCAAAATGGCAACTATACATACCGTTTTGGCAAGTATAACCCTGATTTAAGGAGCCATTTGGCTTATACAGTCATACCTCGGGTTACAGACACTTCAGGTTGCACGTTTTCGAGTTACAGACGCACCAAAACCCAGAAGTACTGGAACGGGTTACTTCTGGGTTTTGGCGCTCGCGCAAAAACACTAAATCGTGCTTTGCGCAGAAGCACCGAATCGCAACCCGCATGTGCGCAGACACGGCGCTGCGGGTTGCGAACGTGCCTCCCGCATGGATTATGTTCGCATGGATTATGTTCCTATAAGCAGAACATTCATTCTAGTGGGTAACTGCCTAATGGAGTTTCTCTAGAACACTCAAACATCAGCAAATGAAGCAGACAGCACATTCATGGGCAAAACTGCACGTAGATACACAAAACACCAGGAGGAGACTGAAGAACTTAATTTACAACAGAAATATTATTTGCATTATTCTGCATATTTACTCTAAACTGCTTTGCGTCTAAGATAAAACCAGATAAACTTTTCTAAATAAAAATGGCATACTGGATACCTTACCCCTGAAAATAAAGTTAAAATCCAACTTTAAAAAAAAAAAAAAAACAAGCAGAGAAAACAATTAAACCCTATGCCACACAAACTTATTAAGGAAACACAGGAGTTTAGAAATTGTCTAACGTTTTGTACAAATCTCAATTTTTCTATACATAAAACAAAACCAAGCCTTTATGTTTCTGCAGCTTCCAGTAACAGCCTAGTTTGCACATAATGCTACACCATTGTTTGTTTACTCTAACTGTGGTTTTGTTTTAATATGTGAAACCAGCCCAGCAAACTATGACTTGTTTTAACTATGGTTTGTCATCCTCTCAAAGCCCAACAGAGTTGCTTAACCATGATTTGTTTGGCTGTCGTAACTAGCTGCTTGCCAAGCTACAAAGGCACGAGGCAAGAGCAGCTGGAAAACAAACCAAGTTATGGAGAAAGAAGCCATGGCTTGTTCGCTCATCTGCTAGAAAATTTGTGGCTTGTTTTAGTGTTATGTGCGATCACAGCCAGTCAGGAAAGTTTAACAGAATCTGACTGTGATAAACCCTTTTCAGGTGTTTTGATTGCCTAATATGTAAATAACACACACAAGAAGGGGGTGTGTATATCGTTTGTAAACAGTTTGGGACCCTACATGTGTGAGAGCATGGTGATCTAAAGCAGCAGGCATCCTCTATTCACAGAGGCTCCCCACTTCAAATCACTGATCATCTCATGCTCATGTATGGCTCTATCTTGTATATCAAGAGTCGGGAACATTTAGCTCTCAGGTTGTTGCTTAACTTAAAGCTCCCATCAGCTCCAGCAAGCCAGGGATGATGAGCCAACAATAAAAAGGAGGGGAGAGATATGATGGGAATGGAGAAAAGCCTTACAACAAAGGCATCTGAAAAGACATTTAGGGCTCTTTCACAGCAAAGGAACTAGTTGCACTAGATTTTTTTTCTAACATGTGGATATCAGACTATAGAACCATTTCCTTTATAGTTGCTGTGCTTAGAATAACGCCCACAAATATAATATATATTGCCTTAAGTATTTTGAATTGTGAAGATAATATTATATCCCCAATCCAGCTCTAGATGCTTGTGTCGCATGTAGTAGCGACCCCTGAATCAGAATACATATCCCATGCATTTTATACTTTCAACAAGTACTTGCATCCACTTATGCACACATATCTCCTTTGCTGGAGAAAACTGCTCTCACTTTAGCAAGTGTTCTCTGCTTTAAGGTCCCACTTGGGTATTACTATTTTGAAGTCTGCCAGAATCAGGGAAATACATACAAGATGAAAACTGGTCACCAAATGGACTATGGACCAGGCTTATTTTAAACTCCCTCCTACTTCAGAACCCCTCCTGATCATACAGTTAATCCTTTTTGCTGCAATGGAGGGGTCATACAAGCTAAATTACAACATCCACTGATGGTAGTGGAGATTCTATCCTTAGTGAAGAATACAGTGGACGCTCAGGTTGCGAACATGATCTGTGCGGGATGCACGTTCGCAACCCGCAGCAGCGCGTCTGAGCACATGCGGGTTGCGATTTGGCGCTTCTGTGCATGCACAACCACCAAAACTCAGAAGTAACCAGAAGTAACAAAGAGTGCACATTTGTCACCCTCAACCTCCCAAGAATATCTCAATAGTTGAGATTGGCGTGCCTACACTGAAACAGCTGAAGGAAAAGAAGTGGCATAGATCTGGCTGTAAGAATTTCCATCCCTTAATCAAAAACCCTGGACTATGTTTAGGGGTTGCAGTCATCAGATTCAGCAATCACTGCCACTAAAATCCACACCTGTGACACATTCATGGTATAAAAACTGTGAGAAGAAAATTTCTTTAGCTTTAAGTTAACTATAATATCTTACAGACATCACTAGCACCAGCTTGGTGTACTTTTTCTACTCCCTTCAGTCAAATAAATATCTAGTATGGGTTTATTTCTCTGTCAGACTTGTTCCTCAACCTAACTTGTAGAGTTTTACTAAGTGCATTTGGACTTTAAAAAACTAGTACAGGGGCATGCAACTGGATCAGACAGCTGGATGCATACATATCCAGCCCTTCATGAGCCACTTTGACAAGTGGGCGGGACTGCCCACCTGTCAGTCAGCTGTCATATGGTGTCAGGTGATTGTACCTTCAATCCACAGCAGCAAAGGACAAAATGGTGCACACTCTTGTGCTCCCAATTCTTCCTGCATCAGACTGAATTCAAGCTGCAGCTGCAAAGGAAGAAGTAGCTGTGGCAAGAACTGCAAAGACAGAATCTGTAAGTCAGACATGGGAAAGGTGGATGTGGCTCACCAAAAATAGCCTGGTGGGCCAACATTTTGAGGCTCAGTGGGCCTATCAGATCCATGGACTGGAGGCTCCCAGCCACTCATCTAGCACACAGCAGCAAAGTGGTGCTAGAGTTAACCTGAGGTTGATTTTGCGATGCTTGAACATGCTCTAAAAATGTGTTCACATTTTCCACATCTTTAGAAGAGATGTATTTTAAAAGTCAGTCATCCTCTTACTTCTGATCATCATTTTTACAGAACACGGAAAATAAGTCCCTTTACTGACCATATATACTGCCTTGCATAGAGCTTACCTGAGCTAAGGTCCTGCTTTCTAGCTGGGAAATTTTCAGAAGTAACAGAACTGCCACTGCAGAAGCCCAAATCTGAATCCAAACAAATCTGTCTAGAGTTTGCAATTTCTTTAAAGAACATAGTTAAATGTAAACATTTGTTATGGAATAGTTGTTTATAATGCTACATGAGGAACAGCTACAATGTTTTACGCCAATTTCAGTTTAGGCACCCGAAGAGGCGAAACGGACAGCATCAATTATCCGATTAAACTAAGGGACAGAAATGTGGCTTCTAGTCACCCAATTTAAAAAACGAAACAAAACCTTGTGGGGAAAGTGTGCAAATTTCTGATTTCTAATTCTACTCAGAAACCGTCAAGCTACACACAACAGCCGCCACAAAATTCAGTTCGATGGCAACTACACACAACCAGAAGAGCCAACAGACATGCTACCCACGTGGACCGGGAGTCCCGCTCCTAACTCTTAGGGATAAATGTTGCATGCAAACGTTTGACGGAAGCCTGCTCGCAGGAGGATGAACAAAGGAAAAAGCAGGTTAGATCAGGCCAGCAGCAGCAACGGAATAACACACATCCCACCTATATAATATCATATATTAATATATGTATGTAATATAAAATAATAGCAGAGTCCACTGTTGGGAAAACAAGGCTGCGGGCTTATCAGACCTTTGGCCCCACTCGAGGAGGCAACTTTCCCGTCTTAAGGCCTTGATAAGCATGTTTTGTCTGGGGCGGGCGAGCGGCGGCGGCGGCGGCACTTACGATACGCAGCCAGGCCCGGCTCCCGATACGCGCGCCCCGGGGCTGCAGACACGGAGCACCCGGTACTTTAGCGCTCCCCCCCCCCAAAAAAAACCCCGCTGCCTCCCCTCACACTATGGCAGAAAAAACACACCTGGGCAAAAAATAAAAACAGAGAGAACCAGCCCTTGGAGAAGCTGTGAACGGCGCTTCCCCGCCCGCCTCTCCTCCCTCGCTTCCCCGCACAAGGGCGAAAAGTGCGGCCGGGGAAGGGAAGGGGCGGCCTTCTCAATCCCACGACCCCCCCCCCCGGAGGGCTGCGAAGGGGAACCAAGTGCCCAGGACGGGGAGAGGCCGCCCTTCTTCACCCTTGATACTCACCTGGCGCTGCCGCTTCCCGCCTTGGGCCCAGCAGGCGCCGCTTGCAAGCAGGCCGGGCTGCCCCCTGACAGCGAGACGCCGCCGCCGCTGCCGCCCCTCCTCTTCCGCGTCGCCTTCTGGCCTCCGCCGCCTAGCCTAGGCCGCTGTGCCGGAGCGCGCAGGGTGGTGGTGGTAGCAGCCGCCGCCGCTGAGGGCTGTGAAGGAAGGGGAAGGCGCTAGGCCCGGCCCGGCCCGGCTAGGCCTGCCTGAGAGCTGAGTGGGAAAAGGGGAAGGCCGCCTAGGCGCTCTAGGCGTGCGCGCGGCTGTCGAGATGGCCGGCGATGGCTGAGCAGGGGCCTCCGCGCTGCGCCTCCGCCCTCTCCCCCCGCTCGGGGTCACCCGGAGCCCAGCACCACCATGTTGGGAGGGAGGGAATTACGAGAGAGAGAGAGACAGAGAGAGAGAGAGAGAGCGGCCGGGCGGGGGCAGGGAGGAGGAGTGGGGAAAGAAGAAGGGGGGGAAAGAAAAGACCAGAGGCACGGGTGTCAAGCGCGGCGCAGCTTCGGAGGACTGGCGGGGAGGGAGGGGTGGCCCAGCATGCACCGCGCGCGGGGCAGCGCTGCTAGGCGCTCTGTCTCTCCGTGTCTCTGTTTCTCTAGCGTGCTCGGCCGCTCTGCAAGGACTCCGGATCATAGAAAGAGGGAGGCAGGGGAGGGGAGGGGCCTTCCCCGCCAGCGGCCATGTCACGGGAGGCATCGGCTTCGCCACCGCGTGGCCTTGTCCTTGCCATGCTCAGGTCTCTCGTCTGCTTTTGAGCGGCAGGGCAGCTCCGTGCCGCGGGGCGGAGGCAGGCGAGGTTGGGTGAGGGGTCTGGCAGTGGGGAGCCAGCGAGGGGAAGAAATGGAATTCCCCGGATCAATGAAATCACCCCGGCCGTTCAGAAATGTTGACATTCTTACAAGAGTGTGACCACCGTTATTTGTACTCCCTCTCCTCATGGTGCAGCCATGCTCAAAGCGGCTCAAAACAACATGCAGAATGCAATAAGATAATCTCCAAGAAGTGTGCATATATTAATCTATCACTTTCCTTCCCAAGTTTTAGACATGCAGGTCAGTGAATGCTGACATTTATGTTCCAGGTCCTTGTGTCCCAGTGGTGCCTGGTGCTCTTGGGGGTTGGTCAATTCCAAGGCAGGGAGACCCAACGCTGTCAACGAAAGGCTGAGCTAGGGTAGGGCTAAGGCTGAGGCTGATGGCATAGTGCCCCATTTGCCCTATGGGTCAGCCTCCACCAGCTTTCAAAATTTACCAGGCACATTTTGCACCTGGCTTGTGACGAAATGAAGATGCATGGGCACTAAGATGGCTCCTGACATCTCCACCATCTATAGGTGCATGCCTAGGGATCCTTGGATCTTGACTGTTTTCACGCACTAGCAATACAACTTGTAGAACTCTATCCATTATATTTTTTCTGCACAATCAGAACAAATTTCAGGAACTGAAAAGTCGTATTGAAAAATACGACTTTCGAGCCATGTGGCCCCCAAATGGCAACTAGGCATTCAATTTTTATATCTTATATATCTTAAGCTTATATATCTGAGTTTCTAGCTGTGTCAACACTGCTCAGGGCAGCTTTACCTTTTGGCCGTTCACAACATTTACCTCAGACAACTAACTTGTCACATGAATGTGGACTGTCATTCAACACGTTTTGGGTTCTGACCAACACTTAATATAGCGATGTCTCTTACCCATTTATTCCTGGAAGAAATTAAGTGGCTTGTGCTGTTTCAAGCTTTGGTAGAGCACTGCATCATAGTTTGAAATTGGCATCATATAGATTATTGTGGCAGAGGAGGACAGCACACCTGGAAGTTACAGGGCTTTTGCAGAAAGAAGGAAATACAGTATTTCTAAGGAAGACATTATGTAAGGCTCTTCATATGGTGTCACCCTGAGATGCATGCAGAGGGGAGCTTGGCAAGGGGCTTTCTGGAAACCTTAGCTTATATATAAAACTTATCACAGAACGTGGGCAGGTTCCTGACACACAGTAGATGGTGGCTAAAAGTAAAGGGACCCCTGACCATTAGGTCCAGTCGTGGCCGACTCTGGGGTTGCGGCGCTCATCTCACTTTATTGGCCGAGGGAGCAGGCGTACAACTTCCAGGTCATGTGACCAGCATGACTAAGCCGCTTCTGGCGAACCAGAGCAGCGTCCAGAAATGCCGTTGACCTTCCCGCCGGAGCAGTACCTATTTATCTAGTTGCACTTTGACATGCTTTCGAACTGCTAGGTGGGCAGGAGCAGGGACCGAGCAATGGGAGCTCACCCCGTTGCGGGGACTCGAACCGCTGATCTTCTGATCCGCAAGCCCTAGGCTCTGTGGTTTAACCCACAGTGCCACCTGCTGTGGTGCTGCTACTGCTTCTTGCCTGCTACCAGCATTAAATAATTGAAAATGCTACCTCTGAGTGACCTTTTCTCTTCTTTTTTAAATAACTAATTGCCATGGCTAGACCCCTCTTCCTAAGGCACATGTAAATGTCTATACATCAAAGATAGCAAATGTAGTGCCCTCCACTTGTTGGTGGACTCCACAGGATAACTCCCATGGCTGCTTTCTGGAAATGGCCCTGGAGGTAGGAGAGGAATCACTGAAGCACAGTTCTTCCGACCCCCATCTCCTTGAGATGCTCCTGAAGGATACCATGGTCAACAATATCAAAAGCCACTGAGAGATCAAGGAGAAGAAGCTGTGTCACACTTCCCCTAGTCTCTCTCCCAGTGAATGTCATCAATGGGGGTGACCAAGGCAGTTTCCATGAAGCCAGAATCCTGAAGCCAGACTGACATGGATCCAAGTAATGTTGGACTGCAGCACTGATATAGGTAAAACTATCGAATTATCATCATGGGGAAAATTGTGGAAAGAGAGTGGGAAATTTACGGCTTGTGAAGCGATAAGGGAAAATTTAATAAAGATGTTTTACAGATGGTATTTAACACCACAGCGCCACCCGCATCCTGGATGGTGGCTAGGAGAATCTTATTATTATGGTTTGAATGCTAATAATAATATTATGCATGTTAAAAGTATAAATGGAGAAAGATAGACCGATGTTGATATTTAAGCAATCATTTTTATCCCCCAAGTTTATTTACTACTGAGCTTGTAGTTTATCTCTTGCTAACAGTTCTGTCCTAACTATGGTTACTTAGAAGCATATCCTATGGAGCTCCACAGGTCTTCCTCCCAAGTAGATGTGGGTAGAATTGCAGCCGTGGGTTAGTTGGCAATCATCATCATCTTGTCACATTCTGCCAGGTTAAATATGGGTTTTAGTGCCAGCAAGATGTATAGTGAAAGGAATGGCCTGTGTAAGGTCACCTTTGAAAACAAGCCAGAGGAAAATCCATAGGCTTGTGTCCTCATATGACCTGGTGGATGACTTGCAGTACCTAAACTTTACAAGGCATTCAGAGAGCTGTTGTTTATTGAAGCCGTTAAATGGAGAAAGGGAACTCCAGGATGGCATTTGTATTAGCTAGTTGTGAGTTGTTCCTGCTGTATTTAACAGGAATAGTCATTTAAAAGTTATCTAAGTTAAAAAAGGTAAAGGACCCCTGGATGGTTAAGTCCAGTCAAAGGCGACTATGGGATTGTGGCCCTCATCTCGCTTTCAGGCCAAGGGAGCTGGTGTTTGTCCACAGACAGATTTCTGGATCGTGTGACCAGCATTACTTAACTGCTTCTGGCACAACAGGACACCATGATGGAAGCCAGAGCGCAATGGAAAAGCTGTTTACCTTCCTGCCGTAGTGGCACCTATTTATTTACAAGCACTGGCATGCTTTCAAACTTCTAGGTTGGCAGGAGCTGGGACAGAGCAATGGGAGCTCACAACCATCAAGTGGTTTTGAACTGCTGACCTTCTGATCGGCAAGCCCAAGAGGCTCAGTGGTTTACGCCACAGCCCCACCCGTGTCCCTAACATTACCTGTAGCGCTGATGACAATATTGCCCCAAATGTAAGCTGAAGGGATTCTAAAACAATAGGTGTTCTTTTGAGACTGGGGACAGCAATTATGGCTTTCAGTTGCAGGGGGCCCACCCCCTTAGAGTCAGGGCTGGATTTAGATGAAGAGAGGCCCTAGGCTACTCCACTTGTGAGACCTCCTCCCCATCTCCCACCCTCACAACTAGAAGAAAATGGAAGAATGTTATAAACAAAATTGAGTGAAGCCAAGGATGATGACGAGTATTTGAAATTCTGAAATTCACAGTTTCTCCTCTAAAGGACATAAGATATTATTGTTAAATACTTTGGTGATTTTAAAAATGCATAAAATTAACACTGATTATTTTTTTTTTGCAATAACTTTGAACTTTGTAAACCTGGGCAGGCCGGGTCTTCCTGTTATATACCTGCTGGGATTGACAAGGCATCTGACCCTCACCTGAATCTCGTAGCTCTCCTGACGAGTGCTTTGGTGGAAATAAATGATGAGATCCCCCACCAGATACCAGACACTCTACCATTCAAATTAGGCCCCAGTGTTTTTTGTTACAACCCCCTTCTCAATTAAGCAATCAATTTTAATCTAGAATTTAAATTCTCAAAACTTTCTTATTTGTTAATTCAAGCAAGTAAACTACTTCTCTCACTTCATTACAAACAGTATTCCTACCTGCAACACACTTGCAATTAACTAACTAGAAGGATTACTGTTAATAGCACCAGTTTTCCTGTAACTTGATATTGCTGGATAGTTTTGATGATCTGCAAAAGCATTTTTAGTTTGCTATCTGTTGCCACCCAGGAACTTTTCTTTATTAGTGCCACTTTGTTTTGTACAATTCCTTGCAAATGAAGGAAAACAACTTTTCTGCTTGTATATATTGATAATATAATTTTGGTTACTGTGGACAAACAAGATTGTACAAAGACAAGACTGAGTGCAGGCCTGGCCAGAAATGTGACAAAGGTGACCTGTGTGCTTGCTTGCTTGATTAACAGCTGTTGGAAATGTCAATGTCCCTGCTCTCCCTTCTTATGGTCTTTGTATTGGACCTGGAGATTCCAATAGAGAGCATTCCAGGTCAAGAAGGAGGGCAAGTGGGCACCCTATCTAATGACAGGGCAGGAGCTACATGGAGCAGGGCCTTTTCACCTGTGGTGCCCATTGTATGCATCACTCTTCCCAGACTTGCTCTCTTTTGGCCTGCATTTTGGAGCTTTATAATTTAGGAAGACTTTGGAAGAACTGGTTGACAAGTCTTATCAGTCGCTGACATATGAGCGGATTTTATTTGCTGCTATTCTGGGCTTCTGGTGCACCAGGGTTTACAATAGTGTAATAGAGTTGTCCAGGATGCCAGAAGGGATACAATTTATGAGCTTTCTCCATTATCTGCACAGCAGGGGGTGTTCAGTCAACAGTGCAAAGGCTGAGCTGAAGCATTCCATGCTAGTTACCTGCTTTCAGCAATAGGGGGCGCTGTTTGGTAGTACCCAATTGGTTAGCTGTCAGATTCTAGAGCTCCCTATTGATGGCTCTTAGGTAATTCACAAAATACAGAGTACATTCATAAAACACAGTGTTCATTCATAAAGCAGTAACATAAATCTCCATTGCTACATATTGCGTGTATATTTCAGTGGTTGAATGTACAGCTTTATGGCCATGCTTTAGTGTAGTGCTTATGCAACTGTGAATAAAAGATGGCTGGGCTCATTTTTCTCAGGGTTTGGGGGGGGGAGAGAGGTGACAAAACTG